CCCCCCCCCCCCCCCCCCCCCCCCCCCCCCCCCCCCCCCCCCCCGTTACTGTGTGTGACAGCTCGGGGCAATGCGGCACACAGCGGTGCTGCTGCCGCTGCTGCGGCCAGCGGTTTCTCATCCTCCAATTGTATCCGGAGCCAGCTGCTGTTATGTAAAGGCACATGGCATCTGTGCACCCCCATCATCACCCCCTCCTCCCTCCTCCTCATCCTCATCCTGCACCATCCCTCTGGCACCGAGCCCGGCTGCTGCTGCTGCTGCACAGATGAAGTGTCTGCAGCTGGAGCTCATCTGTCTGCATCACAACAACAACAAACTGCATGTCTATGTGTTAAAATGCATCTTACTGTTTATTAAAGTAGAGCTGCAGCATAAAGCTGTCAGCTGTTTGAGTCTCAGGACATCAAGTCACCGCATGAAACTCATTGTTCTGATTTGAATGTTCCTCTAACCCTCAGTGTTATTAGCGCCTAATATTCACTGACCAACAGTTATGTAATACATCATAAAACATTTCCCTCCTCTTGTCGCCACCTGGTGGTCAAAGCAGGTAAAGTCACTCTGCTGTCAAATGCTGGTATAAAAACAACAGTAAAATAGTACTTTACAACAAGCAGGGGCGTAAATAGAGACAGCTGCACAGGGGCCTGTGGGCTGAAGGGGCCCTCCACAATATGTTGTTGACCCTTGTGAGTAATTCAGATTGCAACCTTAAAGGGATAGCGCACCCAAAAATGTAAATTCAGCCATTATCTACTCACCCATATGCCGAGGGAGGCTCAGGTGAAGTTTTAGAGTCCTCACATCACTTGCAGAGATCCAAGGGGAGAGGAGGTAGCAACACAACTCCACCTAATGGAGGCTGATGGCGCCCCAGATTCAAACGTCCAAAAACACATAATTGAAACCACAAAATATCTCCATACTGCTCGTCCGTAGTGATCCAAGTGTCCTGAAGCCCCGACATAAAAAGTTAAACAAAAAAAACATGCACACATGAGCGCGGTGCCCAGAGAGGCAGTCAGAGCTACAGGCTACAATGAGGCTAAAAACAGAGTTCAAATGATGTTTTTCCAAACAACTTTTTATGTCGGGGCTTCAGGACACTTGGATCACTACGGACGAGCAGTATGGAGATATTTTGTGGTTTCAATGATGTGTTTTTGGACGTTTGAATCTGGGGCGCCGTCAGCCTCCATTAGGTGGAGTTGTGTTGCTACCTCCTCTCCCCTTGGATCTCTGCAAGTGATGTGAGGACTCTAAAACTTCACCTGAGCCTCCCTCGGCATATGGGTGAGTAGATAATGGCTGAATTTACATTTTTGGGTGCACTATCTCTTTAAAACTCACTGCGTTCAAAGAAAAACTCACATTACATTAAAAACAGTGCAGTTATAACCTGAGACAACCAGGATCAGAGGAGCTGCAAACACCAGTGGGAACCATTTGTCATATTATTCATTATTATGCCATATTTATCATATTTTTATTTTTGTTTCGTAATGCACTTTAATGTTGTCATGTTCATGTTGAATGTACCTGGATTCATGAGTAACAACACTGCATATTTCACTGTATGCTGCTGTATTTAAAGACGACAATAAATTGAACTTGAGCTGCATGTGTGTTGCTGAGGTTGTGTATGTTGCAATGGTGTCATACTGGACTACAGCATATTGAAATATGAGACATTACAACATTAAAACCAACAGTTTCTCTTTAATTTCTGCTTTTATTACAAGTAACAAACAAACTAAGTGTAACTGAAGATTCTTCTTAAATTACAAAAATATCTTGTTCACATTATTTTGTGAATTCTGTCCTCATTATGACCTCATGTTGTTTTTCAAGGCTGTAATTACACTTCGCACATTTATTAATATTATAAACATCCTTCATTTCAACACATCATTTAGACTCTGATAATAAAGTCAAACAACATGAGCAGAACAAATGAACAATTATCAAACACATGATCATCTGACAGCTCGATGAATGACCTCATACAGTAACTTTGCTCCGTCTGTCTTCAGTGTGTCGTCCTTCTTTGTTTGTTCAGCTGTTCACTCCGGTAAACAGGACGATGACGTCATTAATTATCACATTAGATTACAAACACATGACAATTATCCAACAACATGAACTGATGAGTTCATACAGTTAAAGTGATTCTGGTTTGAAATGCTGGTGAAACAAGTTCCTTTCAAAAGAATTCTATCTATTGTCCTGAATCGTCAGAAACACATCACATTAATTATCTATCTGCAACGACCCCGGGGCCTCAGACCTTCAGGGGCCGAAGGATCAAGGATCACCTTATCAAGGTTTCTGTTTCTATTAACAGTTTCACACATTTCTCAAAAGTAAGTTCACTTCTTCATTCAACTGTGATCAACTGTAATAAACGGTAAACTTAAATCAGTTTGGAAACACTGTCTGTGTCAGGATCAGCACATGATCTGTCACTCCTGAATAAATCTGTGCCGAAAGAGAAACTTCACACCTGCAGAAAATGACAGTCTCCATCCATGTCAGTGAAAACATGGATGCTTCACACACAAAAGATCTACACAATCAGCACAGTTTCAAGATTAGAGTCACCAATACAGTATCTGACAAAAAGTCTCCACTTCTGTTCCTGAGATATGACGTTAAAACATGATGATGTCACAGTCAAGCTGACCTTTGACCTTTGCCTTTGATGACCAAAATCTGATCAGTTCATTGGTGAGTCTGGGTGGACGTTTGTGCCAAATTTGAAGAAATTCCCTCAAGGTGTTTTTGAGATATCGCATTTCAAGAATGAGACAGAAGCAAGGTCACAGTGACCTTGACCTCTGACCTTTGACCACTGAAATCCAATCAGATTATGGTTGAGTCCTAGTGAACATTTGTGCCAAATTTGAAGAAATCCCCTCAAGTTATTAAGATAGCGCATTCACAAGAATGAGACAGATGCAAAGTCACACAGATCTTGACCTTTGACCACAAACTTCTAGCCAGATTATTCTACAGTGGACGTTTGTGCCAAATGTAAAGAAATGTCCTTATAGTGCTCTTGAGATATCACATTCACAAGAATGAGACAGATGCAAGGTCACAGTAACCTTGACCTTTGACCATCAACTCTAACCTGTTCATAGAGTCCAAGTGAACATTTGTTCCAAATTTGAAAAAATTCCCATTAGGTGTTAATGAGATACTTTTTGCACAAGAATGAGAAAGGAAGGTCACAGTGACCTTGACCTTTTACCTTTGACCACCTAATTCTCATCAGTTTATTTTTCAGTCAAAGTGGACATTTGTGTCAAATTTTCAATGAAATTTCCTTGAGGTGTTTTGGAGAAATGAAACAGACAAGGTCACAGTGACCTTGATCTTTGACCTATGACCACCAAAAACGTATCAGTTCATTGCTGAGTCCAAGTGGACATTTGTGGGAAATTTGAAGAAATTCCCTTGAGCCGTTCCTTGAGATATCACAAGGATGGATGGACAGATGGAAAACCTGAAAACATAATGCTTCGTCCACAGCTATCACCGGTGCTGCGGCTAATAATTTGTATTTAAAGCAGCTGTAGTCGATCTTGTTACAATAACAATACAGGAACTTTTGAGGGAAACATTTAGATGCTAAATGCTTCACTACGTTCATCAGCCTGTGTCTGCAGGTAGGGCACAAGTGGTTATCAGCTGCATTGTAAAAGACTGCTCTATAAACAAGTTATTGAGGGATAATTACTGATTATAAACTAACACATATATGATGCGTACAGTGGGACAAACAGAGGTGTTGACAGGAAGTCCACAGTTGTTTTTTGCCCTGATGTAAGTGTATTGATTTTGCTGTCAGTGACTGGTGATACTCAGTGAACTCTGTGCTCCCGCTCACTGCAGCCTGCCGTCTCCTCGGCTGCGTGGACTCTGCATCTGTCCGTCCGGCGGAGGAAGAACCTCGACTTTGTAGCTCACCCTCTTGGACTGCAGGATGCTGTAGCTGTTATCGAAACACAGCACGTCTGCACAAAAGCAAGGACACAACAGTTAGTTAACTACAACTGGCATCCTGCAGGATTTTAAAGGGCAACTTTGGTATTTTTTTTAACCTGGATCCCATTTTCCTACATTCTTGTGTCTAAGTGACCAATGGGAACAACAATTTTTGAAACTGGTCCAGTATTGACTGAGAGCGCTGCAGCCAAACAGGCTACAGTGTCACCACTTGGGGCAATTGAGCACCGTCAGTTTACGTTCAATAAAATGTCTTGTTTTTGTCACTGACAGGCTCAGATTGTTATTCTAAGTGTCTGACAACATTATGAAAGGATCCCTACAGAGATAGAGCTTTTTGTTAAAGAGTAAGATCCTTTTTATTTAACCAGAAACAGCCCTGAAATCACCATCACCAAACCCACCAGACTAAATTTAAATTGTGCTTGTTTTTGACACTGACAGGCTCAGATTGTTATACGTGTCTGAAAACATCAAGAAAAAGGTCCCCACAGAGATAGACTTTTTTTTTAAGACAAGATCCTTTTAAACTACAGGAAACAGCCCCAAAATTGCTATAGCCAAAACCCACCAGCCTCCATTTTGCTTGTTGTTACCACTGACAGGCTCAGATTGTTATACATGTTTGACAACATCAAGGAAAGGGTCCTTACAGAGAAAGATGTTTTTGTTAATAAGAAAGGTCCTTCTTGTTTGACAGGACCAGCCCCAAAATTATGATTGCCACCAGATTATTATTCTAAGTGTCTGACAACATTATGAAAGGATCCCTACAGAGATAGAGCTTTGTGTTAAAGAGTCAGATCCTTTTTGTTTAACCAGAAACAGCCCTGAAATCACCGTCACCAAACCCACCAGACTGCATTTAAATAAACAGTCATTTTATCATCAATGTTGTCAGACACTTAGAACAACAATCTGAGCCTGTCAGTGACAAAAACAAACACTGTAAGTGGACGTAAATTGATGGTGTACAAATGCCCCAAGTAATTACATTGCAGCCTGTTTTGTCTCAATACTGGGCAACTTTAAAACTTGTTCCCATTGGTCACCGTTGTTTGGCTTCATATTGAACACAAAGACCTGAGAGTGGCATCAATCTCTTTGTGAATGTCTCTGCAAGAAAGATTTCCAAAAATGTTGAACTCCTCCTTCAAGACTGTGCTACATACATATATTATATATTTATATATGTTCATATTTATTTATTGTTCTTTTGTGCTTTAATTGATGGTTTCTTTGCTAAACTTTCTTTGTCGCACTTGTAAATTACTTAACTTATTACTGCACTCTATTTTACATTATATTATTAATATAATTTCATTTCATTTTCATATTCTTTGTGTTTAAATAAAGTATTTGTAGTGTAAATAAATCTGCAGTCCATTCAATGTATTTACATTCTGTCATGAGTTTTCTTATTGTGAACGTTCCTGCCCCAGATTTAAGTTTCCTTCCTATCCAGGAGACACTGACAGGAAGTGATGCAACGTGTAAGCCATTAATCCCATGAATGCCTTTAAGTACACTGTGTGTGTGTGTGTGTGTGTGTGTGTGTTGACTCACAGACTCCAGGCTCAGAGCAGGTGAGGCCGCTGTCTTCAGGGACCAGGTGTGCATTGTAGCGTTCGCTGGGCAGAACCTGCAGCATCTCAGCCACTTTCTGTCCGACGCCCTCTTTGGTCCGTCTGTACACTCCGAACCCGATGTCCGCTCCGTCGCTGGCAAACTGCCACCTGGGAGGAAACACTTTGGTTTAATGATCTAACTTAATATTTCAAATCTCTAAAAATCAGGATTCTAAGCAATTCTCATAAAATTAGGAATGTCTCCCCTTCTGTTCCTGAGATATGACGTTAAAACATGATGATGTCACAGTCAAGCTGACCTTTGACCTTTTGACATTCATTATTTTATCCTGTTAGACATTTGTGTCAAGTTTTGTCATAATTTGTGTGTTAATTCTTGAGTTATGGCCAATAACATGTTTTGTGAGGTCACGGTGACCTCTGACCACCGAAATTCAATCAGTTAATCCTTGAGTCTAAGTGGACGTTTGTGCCAAATGTGAAGAAATTTCCTTTAGGTGTTCGTGAAATATCATGTTCACAAGAATGAGACAGACAGGGTCACACTGTCCTTGACCTTTGACTTTCGACCACCAAATTCAAACAGTTTATTCTTCAGTCCAAGTGGACGTTTGTGCCAAATTTGAAGAAATTCCCTCACGGTGTTCTTGAGATGTCACATTCACAATTCCATCAGGGCCACATTTACAAGACTAAGACAGAAAAGGTCACATAGACTTGACCTTTGACCTATGACTACCAAAATCTAATCGGTTTATTGTTAAGTCCACTGATCTTGACCTCTCACCTTCAACAACCAAATTCAAATCAATTTATTCTTCAGTCCAAATGAACATTTGTGTCAAATCTTTAAAGAAATTCCCTTGAGGTGTTCTTGAGATAGCGCGTTCATGAGAATGAGACAGATGCAAGGTCACACTAACCTTTGACCCATGACCACCACATCTAATCAGTACATTGCTGAGTCCACTGACCTTGATCTTTGACCTTCAACTACCAAATTCTAATCATTTCATTCTTCAGTCCAAGTGGCCGTTTGTGCCAAATTTGAAGGAATTCCCTCCAAATGTTCTTGAGATTTTGCACTCACAAGAATGGCGAGGACGTACGAACAGATAACATAACACCTTCGGCAACAGATGTCGCCGGCGCAGAGGCATAAAAATCAAGCTGATGATATCGTGTCGAAGACCTGACATGACTCTGACCAGATTTAGATAGGTGAGGAGAAGCACCTGTTCCCAGAGCTGGTTATCAGAATAACAGGAAACAGCAGCTTAAGTGACAGGAAACCCCTTTTAATGTGCATTGGAAAGCGTGTAGTACTGGTTGTTCGTCACACACTATGAAGTGTCATCATGTACCAAGTCTTTGGCGTTCTCGCGAGTAAACCCTCAAATGTTTTCTGAGCTGCTAAAGAACAGAGACTTTAAGTCGGCAGGTTGTGTTGTACCTCAGGAGGCTGCTGGCTGCTGTGACATCATATTCTAGCTGGAGGACGGAGCCTCGGCTGATGGTCACGCTGCTGTCGTACTGAACCTTCACCGAGTCCTGAACGTAGTACGACTTGGGAACTGTGCCGCCGTACTTTATCTGCAACAACAACAACGTCCGTCATTTCATCCAGGAACATTTATAGAGACTCACTGTCTGCTCCACCACGTCTGAGCTCTCACCATGGTTCTGCAGCGAGGGTCTCCATCAGGATCAGTCAGGGTTCCTCCGTACACCACAGGAAGCTGCTCGGGGTCGATGTGTTTACGTAACACTTCCTGCCAGTTACCTTCAAACACAGTCATGAATCAGTAACTAAGATGGTGGACACGGTAAACATTATACCTGCTAAACATCAGCATGTTTGTCATCTTACTTCCTAAAACGATGATCTTCCGTCGTGTCTCCTCACACAGGAAGTGTTTGATGAGGTTGTAGGCCATGGGAAACATTCTCGGAGCTGCAGCGAAGACCGAAAAACGAGATCAGACACAAAACTACCTGAAGCGAAGCCCGACTCAGAGGCAAAGAGTCAGAGGATCTGCTGACGCACCTTTGATCAGAAACACCCTCTTCAGGCCCTCTGGATAGTTGTCTTCAAACATGGTGAGGATCTACAGGAAGGAGCAGGTGATGTCATCATTTATCATTAAATAGGTTTTAAATGTAATTTTCTGTGAGGGAACGTTTGGTGATGACACTGTGAGGAGGTGACGAACCTCTCCATACGTCTCTATGGCAGGTTTCCAGATGTGTTTCAGTCCGAGTCCTTCACAGTCATAGATCAGAGTGATCGCTTCAACGTTCTGCCCCAACTGAGACAGAGAGGAGACGAAAGGAGGAGTTAGAGGAGGAGGAGAGGAAATGAGACGAGACGAGACAAGATGAGACGAGACGAGGAGTTAGTGGAGGAGGAGAGGAGATGAGACGAGACGAGACAAGATGAGACAAGACGAGGAGTTAGAGGAGGAGGAGAGGAGATGAGACGAGACAAGATGAGACAAGACAAGGAGTTAGTGGAGGAGGAGACGAGACGAGACGAGACGAGAGAGGAGAGGAGAGGAGAGGAGAGGAGAGGAGAGGAGAGGAGAGGAGAGGAGAGGAGAGGAGAGGAGAGGAGAGGAGAGGAGAGGAGAGGAGAGGAGAGGAGAGGAGAGGAGAGGAGAGGAGAGGAGAGGAGAGGAGAGGAGAGGAGAGGAGAGGAGAGGAGAGGAGAGGAGAGGAGAGGAGAGGAGAGGAGAGGAGAGGAGAGGAGAGGAGAGGAGAGGAGAGGAGAGGAGAGGAGAGGAGAGGAGAGGAGAGGAGAGGAGAGGAGAGGAGAGGAGAGGAGAGGAGAGGAGAGGAGAGGAGAGGAGAGGAGAGGAGAGGAGAGGAGAGGAGAGGAGAGGAGAGGAGAGGAGAGGAGAGGAGAGGAGAGGAGAGGAGAGGAGAGGAGAGGAGAGGAGACAAGACAAGACAAGACAAGACAAGGAGTGAGAGGAGGAGGAGAGGAGATGAGACGAGACGAGACGAGACGAGACGAGACAAGACAAGGAGTTAGTGGAGGAGGAGAGAGGAGATGACAGAAAAACAAGAGAGGAAAGGAGACAAGAGGAAGAAAAAGGAGAACAGAAGAGGAGAGGAAACAAGTCAGAGGAGGAAAGGAGACAAGAGGAGGAAAAAGGAGAACAGAAGAGGAGAGGAAACAAGTCAGAGGAGGAAAGGACGTTGACCTTCTCCGACTGCCTCTGACACTCCCTCTGCAGCATCTCAGTGTGTCTGATCTTCGTCTTCATGAAGTCTTGTTTGGTTGCCGATAGCAACAGACCTTTAGGGTCCAGAGGGCCGATGACATCATACCAGATGGGACTGCCCTCCCTGTCGTATCCACACATCCCTCCAGACACGTACTTGTCAATCACCTGATGGGTGACAGGAGACACACTTAAAGTCTTTATCATTATTACCAGAGCTGGAATGTAACTAAGTACTTTTACTCAAGAGCTGTACTCAAGTACTAGCCTGTGTCAATTTCCTGTTTCTTATTTTTGTTTATTTATTTTTCTCACTGACTTGTGCATGTTTTCAGGTTTGTTATTTCTCTAACATGTTTCTGTTACCATGTTATTTTATTTTACTGTACTCTGGTTGTTTCTAAACGTGCTTTATAAATAAATTTGATTTGAAAATCACATCAAAAATCGATTTTCATAATTTTTTTTGGCACTTTTTATTTAATTATCTACGGAAGTGTATTGCATTCACTTGACAAATATTGAGTAATTTTTTCTGTTTTTCGGAGTATTTCTTTCATTCCTTTCTTGAGAGAGCTTGCCATATGTGTCCAACTGATTCTGGAGAAACACTGCAATGTCCAGCAGATCTGAATGGGCTTTTCATCTGGATAACCGCAAAAGCCTAAGGTGCCTGCGTAAAGCCGACAAACTAATGATAACACCATCTGTATGACTTAAAGACAAGAGTGTCTCCCAGTGTCTCAAACCCAAAACAAAGTAAAACTGGATTAAATTAAACAAGCGTCATGTTTGCTTCAATTATATCAAGCTCTCAAGAAAGGAATGAAAGCATCTGTTGTTCTATTGTTCTCTTAACTCAGAAAAAAATACCCAGAAAAACAGAAAAAATTACCACGAAAAACAGAAAAATAAAAAAACACTGAAAAACAGAAAGAATTACACCGATAAACAAAAAAATAAAAAAATTACTCAGAAAAACAGAAAAAAANAGAAAAAAACTGAAAAATAAAAAAATTACTCCAAAAAACAGAAAAATAAAAGTTACTCTGAAAAACAGAAAAATAAAAAAGTTACTCCAAAAAACAGGAAAAAATTACTCTGAAAAAACTGAAAAATAAAAAAATTACTCCGAAAAACAGAAAAATAAAAAATTACTCAGAAAAACAGAAAAAAATTACACCGAAAAACAGAAAAATAAAAAAAAATTACTCAGAAAAACAAAAAAATTACACAGAAAATCAGAAAAATAAAAAAGTTACTCTGAAAAACAGAAAAAATTAAACAGAAAAAAAGAAAATACTCTGAAAAACAGAAAAAATTAAACAGAAAAAAAGAAAATACTCAGAAAAACAGAAAAAATTAAACAGAAAAAAAATAAAAATAAAAAAATTACACCAAAAAACAGAAAAATAAAAAAAAATACTCAGAAAAACAGAAAAATTACTCAATAAATCAGTTTTTTTATTTGTCAAGTGAATACAATAAGCTTCCGTAATTTTCTGTCTGAATTATGTTTTTTATTATTATTTGAACTTTTAACAATTTTACAAACTTACTTCTTACTTCACTGTGCCCTCATTCTGTCAGATTTCTTAACTTAAAAAAGTAATAATAATTTCATTTAGAGATCTGTCTGACTGTATATTTTAAAAAAGTTTTCTTAAACCCATTCAGATCAAGAGAGCCTTGTGGCCCCACTGTGACACTTTGGCGACCTCTGGTGAAGGTCATGACCCTCAGAGATTTATGGCTCTCACAGGACAGCCGTGTTATAAACCATGATGCATTGCTGTAGATTAAACTAGACTCAACTAGTGTTTGTACCTCTGGAGGTTTCCAGTCAGATATGATGGAGTCAATGTTCATCTTCTTCCTGAACTCCAGATGCTGCAGACAGACAGACAGACAGACAGACAGACAGAAACATGTTAGTTGTCCACATCCTGTAGCTGTACAAGAGAAATAATCAGTAATCAATAAAAGAAACGCTCACCTTTCTGATCATAGTTTCAGCTTTCTGAACATTGAAGCTACGAGCTGCAAAAAGAGAAAGATACTGATGAGTACATTTACTTAAGTATTTATACTGAACGTAGTTTCTTTCCATTGCACTTCAAATATATATTCCACGTATACTTATACTCACTTTATTAGGTACACCTGTTCAACTGCTCGTTAACACAAATAGCTAATCAGCCAATCACGTGGCAGCAGCTTAATGTATTTCATCAGAATGATGAAGAAAGGTGAGTGAAGTGACTTTGAACGTGGCATGGTTGTTGGTGCCAGACGGGCTGATCTGAGTATTTACTGGGATTTTCAGCACAACCATCTCTAGGGTTTACAGAGGATGGTCCCAAAAAGAGCAAATATCCAGTGAGCCAAAATGCCTTGTTGATGCCAGAGGTCAGAGGAGAATGGCCAGACTGGTTCAAGATGATAGAAAGGCAACAGGAAGTCAAATAAGCACTGGTTCCAACCAAGGTGTGCAGAAGAGCATCTCTGAAGCAACAACACCTTGTCCAACCTTGAAGCAGATGGGCTACAGCAGCAGAAGACCACACCAGGTGCCACTCCTGTCAGCTAACAACAGGAAACTGAGGCTACAATTCACCAAAACTGGACAATAGAAGATTGGAAAAACCACATTCAGATGGAAGCATGGATCCATCCTGCCTTGTATCAACGCTTCAGGCTTTTATTTTTCCTCTGCTGATGATCACTGATTTATAAACACTGGACCGGCTCCAGTCGAACATTATCTGATAATCACACAATAGAAAACTTGACACAGTTAAATACAGTTTGCCTGGTTTTCAGTGGAAGCAGGAAAACTGTTGGAGGTCATCAGCTAATGCAAATATTGATCTTTGGTCACAGAGTCGTCCCCGATCGATCTGCGCCTCTCTGCCCTATGGAAACAGACACAATGTCCTCACGTCCACAAACCGCCCGCTCAAAAGACAGACAGACAGACAGGGACGAACAGAAACTCTGGACAACATAAATGATACTTATAATAGTTTGTTCATATTCGAGGTTAGTTTTTGCATAAACGAACCTTTAAAACCAGTTTTAATTTATCAACTTCAGTTTGTCAAACAAGCTGCTTAGATCTAAAGGAGCGGTGCATCCAGTTAACTCGCTGCAGCTTCACTGAGGTCGAATTTTGTTCTGGTAAAACAAACATTGACTGCAGGATGAGACCACTGAGCCGAGGACATATGTCTCATGGCCACAGGGTGACGGGGTGACGGGGTCACAGAGAGGAACGTTATAGGAAATTAATTACTGATTAACCAGAGACAGGCGGACATTTAATCAACCATGAAACTCTTGAACTAGAGAATGCAATTTCTGAAGAAACTGCGGGTGAATGCAGAATAGCTGACGCTACACTGCAATGCTCGCTTTGAATGTTGAATTATACCATTAATGTTTGAATACTGTGGAATATTTTACAATTGTTTAAAAAGCTGACGCTACACTGCAGTGCTGGCTGAAGTGTGTAAGAAGAAGGTGAAGTAGCAGGAATAGTTGGAAAAGTGTCAACAGTTGAATGTAATTGAAAAGTTGAATGATACTCACAATGTAGAATATTTGATAGGTTGCTGAAAAGCTGACGCTACGCTGCAATGCTAGCTTCTAACGTTCAGTTATACCATTAATGTATGAATGAAGTGTAAGGGTGTTTGAAAAGCTGACGCTACAAGAACAAGGTGAAGTGATACGAATAGCTGAAAAAGCTGAAAAGGGGTCAAATTAGTATGAATGTCTTTGAATCGTTGAGTGACACTGATAATGTTGAATTTTTGAAGGTTATATGAAAAGCTGACGCTAAGCTGCAATGCTGACTAAATGTGTAAGAAGAAGATGAAGCAGCAGGAATAGTTGGAAAAGTGTGAAAATGTTTTAAATCAAAGTTGTGGGAAAAAAAGGCTCATTCACTTTCTCGCCAAGAGTTTAATCAGACGACTGAAACCTCCCTCATGTCGGTCTGTTGGATATGAAGAAAGATATTAAATATGAAGACGGTTAGCTTAGATAAAAAAAGACCTACACATCAAAACTTCTCACAATAAACATACAGCAACACATCTATATTTCTCTGAATTCTTAGCTACTGAGAACAAATGTCATTTTTGCAACGATAAACCAGAATCTTCACGCATTTATTTTACCTTTGTATTCATTCAGTTACTTTTTGGACTCAAATGAGATTATTTTTTGTGTAAAACTGATCAGAATATAAAAACTGGTGTGAAAATGTCTTTAAACATTTAGAACGTGAAAAATAAAACACTAAATTCTTGGTAAATTTACAGATTATATATGGTAAATATCACTTGCATAAACCCAAAATTTCACTGGATTTTTATGTGAATTTAAAGAATATTTTCAGACTCTGTTGTTGTCTAACACTAAAAAAAAAAAAAAACAAACAGTAATAAAAGTGAAAAACTATTCGGAGCGACATCACTTTTCTTGTGCTGCTTTCAGACGCCTTTCACAAGTATTAAAACCTTTGAACCCTGAACTATTGATGCGATTTCCTTTAAGAACACAATAAAAAAGGCAATGAGCAACTTGGTAAGAAATGTCCCACAAATTGCAAAAAAAAAAAAAAGATAAAATTTAAAAAAAAATTTTTTAAACAACAACAACAAAGAAAAAAGAAAAAAGCTGGGAAAAACTATATTTATAATTATTTGGTACATACTAATTATACTTTTTAAGCACTGTTTTTAAGGTTTCTTTGTTCTTCACTCTCTTTTTAATTCTATTTTTAAAATAATTTTCTTGCTTTTAATTTTCTCTTTTTACTAATGCCTTGCATTTTTTGGGTCATTTCTTCTTTCGTTGCTCATTGCCCATTTTTCTATATTTTAAAAGAAATCAAGCCAATCTGCTCCGGTTTCAAAGGGTTATTCCATTTTTCAAATAACCATCATTCTGCTCTTTATTTTATTAAGTTGTCAGTTTATTTTTATTCATATTCTTGTTTCTCTGTTTGCATTCAGATTAGCTGATCATGGGAAACAGTAAAGAAATATGTTTTATAAAGATCCTCTTTGTCCATTTGTGCTATAGTTTCAAAATAAAGGGACCATTTGCACATTGTAAAAGATTATATTTTTAAGAAAGATATTAAAAAAAACTTTTATTGAGGTTCATTTTTTATCATTTTATTTTAAATGAAAGCTGGCTGTCTTTAACCATTTAGTACTTTTGATGTGAGTTTAAAGAATATTAAGACTTTCAAACTTAGAAACACTTTAAAAAAAAAAGTAATAAAACTGTTAAAATGTACGGTGAACTCTTAAACATAACGTGTGATTTTATTTTTGTAATTTTTCAGTAAAAATCAGAATTTATTGCAAAAAATATATATTAAAATTTTATTTTTAAAATAGTAATAATAATTATTATTATTATTGTTAGCATTATTATTATATTAAATAATAAATTATTTTTTATTTATATTTGATTTACTGATTTTTTTTTTTTTAATTCATAATTTTGTCTCTCTGCTGTTATGTTGACTTCTTGTCTGCAGTGTTTTTCAATTAAAGTTAAAAGAAAACAAATATCCAGGGTGACTCCGCCTCTCGCCTGATGCCAGCTGTGATTGGTTCACCAGTTACAACCAATAGACTTCACTGTTGGTTCAAACTGCAGAGCCTATCAGCACCATCTGAACCACTGAGACTGGTTTCATAGAGAACCGACTGACACGCCTGTTCCCTCTTTACAAATGCTAATTATGATCTGACATTTACAGGCTCAGTTTCGTCAGACCTGCAGTGATGTAATCCAGGACTGTTACATGTAATGGAGTATTTTTACTTTGTGCTGTCAGTACTTTTACTTGATGTAAGGATGTGAGAACTTCTCCCTGCGCTGCCTGTATTTAACCGCACAGTAACACTCGACCCGACTGAGACCCAAACAAAACCCCGGCTGCTTCTTGGCTTATGATAATTCAACATGTTTGAGCTGCCTGTGAGGGAGACGGCCTGAGGCTACGCTCACTCTCTGCTCCTTCAAACCTGTTCCCATGTCGTTACTCTGGACACCAGAGACAGTTTCAGTGTGAGAGGAAATACCAGACCTGGAGGCTTCGGTATCGACGCCTGTCAGAGATCTGATCTGACTCTACACAACTCAGTGGTCCCCAGTATTTTTTTTTAAAGTTTGCTTCTCTTTAAAACAAATGTAAGTGTGTATCAGATTATATATTTATGGTTTTAAACATTTAAACCAAAGATTTATTGTTTTTTTTCTTGTTTCATTTGAAAAAAATTCAGGCACAAAAAGGTGGAGCTAGTTTGGACTACTTTATAAACAGTGAGCTAGTTTAGTCCAGAGACACAAATCTGTTCTCAGTTTTCTCTCATCCTTCATTTTTTGGTGAAATACTGAATCATTTATTGTTTTGGGGTCTTGAACTGTTATTTAAACAACTCAAAGACATCGAAGACGTGACAGTGAGACAAAACTAGACACTGGCCCGTTTTACACCGCCTGGTCAAAGCAGGAATTTCGCAATTTCGTTATGCCACCTCGCCGTTCTGTATATAAGTTACAATCATGGAGTCGGAGGACAGAGTTGTCTCGTCGTTCAGCCGGCAGTGGAGGTAGTATCAGCATCAAAGTGAGGTCTGTGTAAGAGGGACAGCCAGCAGGACAGGTGTGCCGTTTTGACGATGTGTTATGTGTACGATCCACGGCGAGAGGTTTAAAAGCAGCTGTTAGCAGTTAGCAGCTAACTCAAACAATAAGTTCCAGGAGCTCCTTACCTTCCGAGCAGAAGATAGACTAGAAGCCAACGCTGTTGTGTTACATGTCACGCCTCTTTTGACTACTCAACGTTGGCATTAACATCACACACTGGAGCGATGTGGTGCCTCCATTGTTCGGTTCTGTGTAAAAATGCAAAGCCAGTAAAAAGAAGGGACGTCATAGCGGCTCTGTAGCGCCATCACTGTATAAAAAGGGCTACTGATTTTATGTAAGAGATCACAAGCCAAAAAAAAGTTCGGAATCTCTGGTTTCACTTTTAACAATGTGTTATATTTTATTTATTATGTATTATATGATATTTTATAATATTATTAAACTCGCACAAAGACACCCTTCAGTGGCGGTATAAGATGCGCTGGGCGCTCTGGGAACTGCGGTCGTATAAAGAGCAAGAAAGTCTACATAGGGTGAGATTGAGGGAGTTGGATGGGTCAAACAAACTCCAGACTTTCACCCAGGAGCCCGCTGTCTGTGTCAATAGAGTTATTTTAAATACAACGTAGTGTGCTCGTATGTGTAGCATGCTATGCTAACGATGTATGTCACAAATGCCATGACTTTATATTCTGTTCATAACAAACGTGCTAATTTAAGCCAAACCATGATGTTTTTTCTCAGCCCATCCTCGTACAACTGTTCCGATGCTACCCTACAAATGAGCTCCCAATGTATGATGTCATGACCTTAACATAGAGTTACGTAATTAATGTAAAGTTACTGCGGCTACGTTTAGGAAAAGAACATGGTGAGGACGCACCTTAAATTGACTCATAGCTCACAGGGATCTGAGCACGCGACTCCAGAGGAAAGTCACGGGTGAAAGTCTGGTTTTTTAACCTGCCTCCCTACAAGTGCTCGGGACTGTTTCCTTGACTACTGCCATCAGCATACTGGTCATATATGGGATATGTACGAACTTTTGGTGCATTACTTTCGTAGGAAAACATACAAACCTAACACCGTGCTTTTGTTGCCGAAATGTAAGGAAGTATATCTAAAAACAAAGTGTTTCACATACGCTGTAAATTTGCCCATGAAAGCAGAAGTTTATTTTGAAAAGACACAATGCAAGTAACAAGCGTACATTGACACATCGTCCCTGAGCATCCAAAACCGACGCCAAAGAGGAACAGAGTGTGTCATATTTTAGGAAGTTTAGTAAGAAAACAAACGAAAAACTTGCGAAATTTTTTATTTTAGAGGAAGAGTAAAGTGTGTTGAGTAAGTGTAAATCAGTAATGTTGTGTTTTTGTGCTTTTTTCCACCATTTTAGTTCATTTTTAGTAACTTAAATTGTGCTTATTGTACTTAACGTTACTGTAATTTGAAGCGCTCTCTGGCACAGTTTCCTTCAGGATAAATAAAGTTCTATTGAATTGAATTTAATATTTTGATGACATGACGCTTGTTTTGCCGGCATCGTACACACACACAGACACACACGTGCTGAACACTCTGTAAATGCAGTGTGTGCAGGTCTCACCTCGGAGCCAGCGGAGGAGGTAGTGGTCGTGCTGTGCAGGCAGGTTGGGGAGGATGTCCTGGATCCTCCCCCGAAACTGGAGGCAGAGAACCAGAAGGAGGAGAACATCAGTCACACATCTACATGCAGGAATAGTTCCACATTTTCAGAAATACACTTATTTGCTTTCTTGCTGGGAGTTCGAAGAAAAGACTGACTCCACTCTGATGTTTGTACGGTAAAAATAGCTGGAGCCAGTTAGCTTAGCTTAGCATAAAGACTGGAAACAGGTGGAAACTGTTAGCCTGGCTCTTTAACTCTGAAGCATGTTATAACTTGTTTATTTAATTTGTGCAAGGACCGAAGAATAAAAACAAAAACCTAATACGTTTACATGTTACAGAGCCAGGCTAGCTGTTTGCACCCGTTTCCAGTCTTTATGCTAAGCTAAGCTAACTGCCTGCTTTATGCTTTTTACCATACAGACATTAGAGCGGTATTTTAATGTAACTGAATCTCATTAAGAAAGTGAATAAATATATTTCCAAAAATGTTCAACTGTTTCTTGAAGGTTAATTCATGAGTGGACTGACAGAAAAATGATCAGCGACTATTTTAATAATTCGTAAACTGAGATTAAAAGTAATTTTTAAACAGTTTTTCCCCAGTTCCTGTCTGTTAGCTGTGAGGAGGTGCTGCTTTCCTTACAGTAAATTAAATATATTTAGATTTTGGATAAAATGAGGAATTTCATGACATTGTATCAGGACATTTCATAAGTCAAACCATCTAACAATTAGTGAAGCACCCTGAGCGAACATTAGTGTAATCCTATAATATTCATATTAAAAATATATAAAATATTAAATAAATATAAATAAATAAAAATAAAAAATATGTATATGTACTATATACTAATACTACACTGTTAAAATTCTCTGTTACAAGTAAAAGTCCTGCACTGTAAACTGATGATTTTTAAAAAATTAGAAAAACCACTCTAATGTTTATCAAAAATAGTAGTCAATTAATTTTAATCAGCTGTATATAATTTACAATAAAAGTAAAGTAACTAAAGCTTTCATATGAATGTAGTGCAGTAAAAAGTATTTCTGTCTGGAATAAAGTGGGATGTTATTAATAAGTGGCATATAAAGAACAGACTGAAGTTAAGTACAATACTTGAGTAAATGTACTTAGTTAGTTCTGTCTGTGTGCACTCACAGTTCCCATAGTATATACTCAGTGGTGGAATGTAACTGTAATATAAGACTCTATAGGAATATTTGAGTCATATTTCCCTCAGTGTTGGAAGAAGTACTCAGATCCTGAAATTCAGTAACAGTACTAATACACCAACATTAAAAGTGTCACTTAACACAAAGTACTTAAGTATCTGATACATAAAATGACCCTGTTCAGAGTGTTTATTTATATTATTACTCACATTGTTTCTTATTAAGTCACATTTTTACCTCAGCACTGTACTAAAAAACATTTTATTTTTTATCCAGTTACTCTGCTTATAAAACAGCGACAGTAAGCTGCTTTTCAGGTTCAGATTTTACCTTAAAAAACAAAGCAAAATAATAAAACACGTTATTTAAAAAAAATTGAACACTTTTTAGTGTTTAGTTACTTTTTAGATTATTGTTTTAATCTCAAAGATGAGATGATTTTAATAAACAGACACGCTGAGGACTTTTATCTTCCATATTGTCAGACTTCTCTTAATCAACATTTATTGAGCAATATGTCCAACTTTCACCACCTTAACTTTCGTCCTTGTCCCGTTGTGTTTCTCCCTGACGCCGCGGGGCGCCATTAAACTATAACAGCAACCATCTGCGTATCATGACTGACGTTAGAGGGCATGTCTGATGTAACCCTTCAGACATGGTACCTAGACCCTCGGTGTGTTCAGACAGTCCTCTTAAATGTGGGCGGGGTTGTTGTCACTCACTGCTCCGTCCAGCACTCGCTGTATTTCCTCATCAGCGGTGACACAGATGGAAGTCTGCACCTGGTTTATCGTCCACAGAACGAGGCTGCACGCCCACATTTTCACAACAAAATAGAACAGGCTGCAGTGAGAGTCTCTCTCCATGGGATATTTAAAAATAGCAGCTTTGTGCATTTAGTCCTTCTCAGGCAAGCTCAGGGGTTTAGTGTTGCTGTAGCCCACAGGAAGTGAGGATTAGAATATATGACCTTCACATAATCCGCTCCAAATTAATCTATATTTTTAAAGTCATTACTAAAAGTGTGTGTCATATAAAAACTAAAGTGATGGTCAAAGTTGTCACAGTGAAATTTAAGGTGTGCTGATGGATTCACGTCATCAACTCATGCATTGAGCAACATTACAAGCTGATTGGTGCCATTTAATTCCTTGGGTCTTCTAGTTTCATGATATCATCACTCTGGCTGTAAACTCAGCCCACTACAGTCTCTTAGATACAGGAATGTCAGCCTGACGGGTCTCAGAGGGTTGATGTCAAATTTGAATCTGTAAGGTACCCAACTATAGCTGATGAATAAGTAGAGCAGATGGTTACTGAGTTCTGTATTTCCTCCTGAGATGCCGTGAAGTACAACTTAAAATAAAATAAAAATACTCAAGTAAAGTCAAAGTACCTCAGAAGTGTATCTAAGTGCAGTGAACGCACCACAGAGGATCAGAGAGTAAGATCACTGTGAGTATAAACACACAGCAGACAGTTGCAGTTACCATAGGACCACTGTGAGTGAAACCACAACAAACACAGCAGAGACAACAGAGGACAAAACACTCACCCTGCAGTCACAGGGCGGGGTTAGAGATGATCAATACACTCAGTGAAATCATTGAGACCATATTGATTTGAAATGTCTTTACCTCAGTTAATATCTCAGCCTGTTTGGGGCTCAGGTCTCCCACTCGTCCGCTCATGTCTGCTGCTGCTGTGTCGCTCTGACAGAGGCTGTGAATGAAGTGAGCGCCGGAGGGAACCTGCAGGTCGACGAGTAAACACCACGCCTCCTACACACACACACACACACACAAACACAAACACACACACATATGCAGGTGGACTTTCATCCTTCAGTTGAAGCTTGTTGTTGCGACACTGTCACCCTGTGAAGGGTGTTTGCCAGAAAAGAAGCAGCTGTCGAAGAAAAGTAGAGAAAACACCACAGGGCAGAAAATAAAAGTAAAAATAAAAAATAAATAAAAGTATCTGCATGACTTTATCTTTTATACAAGAGCTAAAGTAGTTAAACTTCAAAGCGAACTCCCAAATCTCAAATCTTACAGCGGCTAAAGTTACAGTTATGTTGACATCACAAACTGTCAAAACATTAACTTAAAGGGACAGTTAAGATGTTTTGAAGTGGGGTTACATGAAGTACTTATCCATAGAGTTTAGTACATACAGTAGATGTCAGTCAGCACGCCCTCGGTTTGGAGAAACTGACATCAGAGAAATATTGTGTTTTTGCTGCAGTGGCAGAGGGATCAAAATGTGTGGTTTTCGGTGTTTTTTTATAATGGGAGTCAATGGGAGGGGGTGAGAGGGGGGCTGGGGGTGGGAGTCAGATGCCATCCAAACCCCCTTTGGTGGGGATCACTGGCCCATGTAGCCCTGTAATAAGCACCAACATGATCCACCGCAAAATTATTTTTGTGTCCCAACCCCCCGTTTGTGTTCTTGCCACCCCAACAAACAGCACCCAGACGTGATCAAACTGGCCTGAAAGGGTTAAAATCTTGACACCCACGGCAAAAGTGAGTTTTAAGTTTAGCTAAGACCTAGAAAGGAAAAATAAATACAGAAAAGCTTTGAAACTGTACTTCAAAAAACATATTTTGGGCAAAGTCCAGGGTTCCTACACATTTGGAATTTCAAAATTCCATACTATTCCATACCCTAATTTGCAGAATATGCGACATCTGAGTAAATATATCAGTGTATCATATTTCACATCATATTTAATTATTCTTAATAGGTGATTGTAGCCAAGTACCATAATGGCATGCAAATAAAAACTCAGGTAAGTTCAGTGTCTGGGCTGAGGCAAAAAGGTTGGGACTCTGGGTGCAAGCGATGCAGTAACGAGACGTCGGTGTTTTTTCATGTGGCTCAGAATCGCCTTCTCCCCCATGTTGGCGATGTCAAACGATTTCACACAAAGCTTGCATCTAGCTCTGTTTGGGAATCCTTGGCCAACCAGTATTTATATACGGTATTGTCAAGCCATCCATCCAAAAACTTGCATCTACCCAATGTGAACCACATGAAACTCGTCTTCTTGTAGAAGGTGCAGTGTTGGAGTGAAACTTGATACCTGGGGGGCTGGAGGAGCGGACTGGACAGACCACTTGTCAATCAGGTAAAAAGGGGCGGTATGTTTTCTGAGACGTTTGCACTCACACAAACTGTGCATGGCCCGGCATAAAACACGATCCAGATTGATTAAATTATTTTTGGAAATACCTAATTTTCTATTTTAGAAAACGGTATTTTAGAACAGTGGTAACAGTCTGGAAACATAAATATTTTTCCATACTTTATTTTTCATTTTCCATACTTTTTAATACCTGGAAATTGATCAAATTTATTTCCATACTTTTCCATACTTTCAATACTTGCGTAGGAACCCTGGAAGTCATTAGGCCAGTTTCCACTGAAGAAGTTCCTGGTACTATTTGGGGGGCAGGAACTTTACAGGAACGTCTTCTCGCTCGACCCTCTCAACCGCCGTGTCTCCACTGAGAGGGCGGAGTAGGAGGAAGGTTCCTGTAAAGTTACCGGGCTCTGGATGTGACGTAATCGTTGCGCGACCATTTTGACTCCTCGTCTGCTGAGTTTTAAAAATGCCGGCTATTTTGTCACTTTCTGTTGACGTCACATCCGGCCTTGAGTATATCCAATAAGCACCAAGAAAACCCCAAGCCCCAGCCAGGAGTCTCTCGGGGCCGTTCTGAATACCTACTCCGAGGCAGGGACTTGTTTAGCCCCTGTAAAAGTTCCGGAACTCTGTCCTTCGAGGGTGGTTCCTGCGGTGGAGACACGCACCAACGGCCCCGGCCCCGTAAAATTACCCCGAAGTTCCTGCGGTGGAAACGGGCCTTTAGAGGTGGACAAAAATGTCCACCTCTAATACCAAGGACCATGGATGTCGTTAAAATTGATTACAAGCCCAAAAAATGGACTTGCATGCTGAAAATTGGGACCTCCAGAGTTTCCCCAAAAATCACACCCCTATGACCTTTCGTTTGACCGTGAAAAGTTTGTGAAGTTGGGGGGGTGGACCGGAATGTCCAGGGGTCATCCAAGGGATATTCAGGATGTTTTTAGTGCAGCACCTCCAAATCTGAGGCCATGGTTCTTTGACAGAAAACGATAGAATGCCCACTCTGGGTTGAGAGAGAGTTACTGCCTCAAGAGAAGGATTCAAGTATCTCAGGGTCTTGTTCACGAGTGAGGGTAGAATGGAGCGTGAGGTGGATCGATGGTTTGGTGCGACTTCTGCAGTGATGCCGGTGCTGTGCCGGACCATGGTGGTGAAGAGGAAGCTGAGCCAGAAGGCGAAGCTTTTGATTTACTGGTCCATCTACGTCCCAACCCTCACATATGGTCATGAGCTCTGGGTAGTGACTGAAAGAATGAGGTCACAGATACAAGCGGCCAAAATGAGTTTCCTCTGTAGGGTGTCTGGGCTCAGCCTTAGAGATAGGGGGAGGAGTCAGACATCTGGAGGGAGCTCGGAGTAGAGCCGCTGCTCCTTCGCATCGATGGGGGTCAGTTGAGATGGTTCAACATCTGATCAGGATCCTCCTGGGCGCCTCCTGTTAGAGGTGTTCCAGGCACGTCCCACTGGTAGGAGGCCCCGGGGCAGACCCAGAACACACTGGAGGGATTACATATCTCATCTGGTCTGGGAACACCTCGGGGTCCTCCAGGAGGAGCTGGAAAGTGTTGCTGGATGGATGGATGGATGATGGATGGACGAACGACAGAAATTCCATGACTTCTCCAAGTTTTCCATGACCACTGGAACCCTGTACAACACTTCTAAGAAGGACGGGTGTGGAGGTTGCCTTTGTTCTACTTTTAAATATAAAATAAGAAACCTGTGCCACATCAAATAAAATTCTGGAATAAAAAGATCCCAAACATTTTTCTTTTGTCATAAAACTCATTTTATTCTTTAAATACACGAGCTGTTCAGAAACTGATGATTCGGACCCAGATACCAGGTTCACCAAATAAAAAGCTGGTGCGTATGAATAAATAGATGATTTACACAAAGGACACAATCATAAAGCAGAAAAGTTCTTCTCTTTTTGACAAAAATGTTTCGATCACCCTGGAAAGAAAATATAATAATTTACCTCCCAAAATATCACCGCCCTGATAGATAAATGTATAACATGGAGAAAAATATATATTCTTAAAATTATTCAGTTTCCAAAGCTCCAAAGTTCAAATAAAGAAAATAAGGTTAGTGGAGATCAATCCGCTGTCCAGAAACTTCCCATCAATGTTTCAGAGGTTATTTGCACAGCAGGTGAAACGTGTCAGCTTTAACCAGTTTGGTTTACGTTGAGCATCAGATGTCGCTGTTAAGCACAGGCCGTGGTGTTTCTTCTTCAGACGACTCAGAAAACTACCAAAATCAGTCAGGTGGAGTGGATAATGAAGACATGAGCGATGAGATCAAACATGTACAATGTGATAAAGTTTCAGTTGCTTTTAAATGAGATATTTCTGAATTTTGTGTGAAAACTTCGACCTGATGGTGGCGCTGGAGGAAACGTTAGAGACTGCTTAAAGGAAGTGGATGTAGCCTCCGAGTCTGGAAAGTGAAGCCTTCGGCCCCCATCACACAGAAAGCGTTTTAGCCACTCTGTTGCTGTTTTTAATGTAAAAGCTCAATCGCTGTTTTTGTGTTGCTACACGCCTGGGGTTTCTGCGCTCTGGGCGCCTGGCTCTGAACTCCTCGAGTTGAAAATGTTAGAACGTAGTTGAGGCAACAGTTTGTTCAGTTATGTTTTGCAGCTTGCCTACTTGCCAAGGACGATGGTGAAAGTGAGCTAACGTTAGCTTACGCAATCCATACCACTTGTTGTCCTCACCACCACAGAAGGCCCACCTCTCAATTCATCTGATTGGACAGTGTAAAAAACAGCGACGTCTGGGACTTTTCAAGTCTGAGTTAATGTTAAAGGCTTTGAGGTGAAGTTGACTGAAGGCGTTCAAGATGCTCCTCCAAAAACGCGAGACGCACAGAGCAGAAAATTCGTGGTGCTCAGCAACGCAGAAGCAGCGAGCAAAACACTCTCCAGGCTGCTTCAACCACAATCTGCCTGATCAAGTATGGTGTGTTTTAAACTTATTTTGGTATCCACTTAATGTCACAGTTAACATCGACCCAGATTGCTCTGAAGTCGTCAAATACTGGCTCTTGCTCAGTGACTTCCGATGTCAGACATCCATGAAAAAAGCTGTCCTTTCATGACGACACTATACGCGACCAGTAGGCATTATTGTTTAACAGCACCCAGCGACGTCAGGAGGAGATGCGGCGGGAGAGCAGCAAAAGTTAGGAAGCAAAAATTCGAGTGGGGTGGGGTGGAAGGGTCCAACAACCATCAATTTTCACCCGCGAGGAAACTTTTTCCTCAAGTTTCTGGTCTAAATCTCTAGTTTCAAGTCTTCTTCAATACAGCATGATGTTCATTTTGTAAATTATGGTCCCATTTAGAGAAATACTTGACCATAAAGCTGGTATTTTTCAGGGCGTGGCTATTTTGTGACTGACACGGTGACCTGTCACCTGGCATAGCAATGTGTATCCATTGAAGTGTCTTAACAGCCATGAACTTTTGTTCGAGTGTTGTCCTTTGACCCTCCGACAGTGTGTTTTCAGTTCAGCTCTAAAAAACCAAGATGGCGGCCGCAGTCCACGAACGGGTGACGTCATGGTGGCTACGTCCACTTCTTTTACACAGTCTGTGGATACTTGAGTCTGAACCAAAGTGGTGGACGGACACCATTAAAATCCAAACAGTCAGTTATGGCGGCTGACCTCTCTGGTGTTTACTGAACATGACGGATGTGGGGCAAAGGTAACTCAAATCAGTTGTAAACTGGGCAACATTAAACAAAGATGATTCTCTGCAGGTAAATTTACACTGAACTTTGTCCCAAATCTCCTGATAACAGCGTTAAGTCAAACCACCTCAGTGACAGACGTCCCAGAGGAACACTGCACCTGACTCAATTTAATCCACGAGTGACTGAATTCAGCAACTAAATACAGAGGTGAACAGGTGACAAACACGCAGGTTGCATTTACTTGTTTTATATGATGAATGCATGAAAATAATGGTTTTGTCGATTATTTAAAAACTATTGATTTATTACAGAGAAACAGCCACTAAATATTAAATATCTGAGCATCAAGACGTTTTGAAGTCAACATCAGAAGTAAAACTGTATTATCTGTATTATAAGATCAAAGCCTGCACATTAATCTTTACACATTGCATCCTGGGATTATATAGTTTCCACCTTGTGACAAGATTATTTCTGCGTGTTTTCTCCTCGTCTAAGTGCTTCAAGGAACGTCTCCGCACAAACTGCAAAATGAATGTAGCCTATTATCGTCCTATCAAAAATATGAACTCTTATTTTGTTTAGTTAAAACTTTTATACCAATGATTCCAAAAATAACTCTTCGTTATTAAAACAAAACAAAATCTCTATGCATACAGTTCATCTTTTATACATTTGGGACAAGATGGCGGTTTTATAAATGGAGAAAACGACAGAGCTGACTTCTGCAAAGCTACTTTAAACAGTTCATGCTAACATGGTTTTATTTTACAGGCATGAAACCTCTCCGCGCTTTTATATTCTGACTTTAAAGAGTGTTTATTAACCACAGCACTCGTTGGGGGAATCTGGCAGTTCAGATCAAGCTTTAAATTTTGTGGAAAAGAAGCTGGTGAAGAAGAAATGGAGTGACACTGCTATGTTGAGGGTTTAAAAGTGCCTGAAAGCTGCTGTGAGAATACATGAAATAAATTTAAATCGTGATGCTTTGTACTGTTCGGTAAAACACTTTGAGTTACTGAGGAGACTCCTGCTGAGCTCAGGGCACCAAACACATGAGAGTAGTGTCGATCTTCTCTTCTCAGTCCTGGAAACAGAAGTGCATTTCCCAAAACGTCAAAAAGCCTGCACGTTTATAATCACCAATGTTAATGACGACATAAGAAGGTGTGAGATGATTTTCAAATTGCTCAAAGGGCCACAGAATGTGGCGCAGCAATCTCATCAGCTGTGCAAAATCTGATCATTTAACTGAGACTCAAAGAACTGAAGCAGACATCATAAAATCTCTGAAAGTAAAAAAAAATTATTTGGTGTTTGAGCTGGAAATACTGACGAACAACGAAAGACGACGCTGTGCTGCTCGATTAAAAAGTATAAAGAAGTCTAGACAATCAAAGTAAAGCAGAGACCAAAGGTGACAGAACGGAGAGTTTTCAATGAGTTTCATCTGGGACAGGATGCACCGGCCACATTCACTGTTAGCAAAATAATTTGTGAATGATGAAGAGGAAGCTCCAGATGACAGATAATCACTCACAAAGTGACGAAACCAACTGGTCACACACATTTATCCTCCTGTGATGATGAGCTGAGCTTCATCTGACACTGTTACTGACACACAGCGGGCCTCGTGCAAGAAAAATAAGCTTCTGGCTAAATCAATATTCTTCTCTCCTGCAAGTTTACTGCGAGCTTTAACAACTTTTTACATGCATACTTTTGCATAGCAACTAAATTCAGCTGCCTCATCGCGTCTCTGTGCAGGTCAACATCCTCTGACTTCCGAGTGAAGACTGGGAACTGTTTTGAATTGCGGAGACATGTTAAAGTCATTTTTTAGACGTAAAACGCCGGAGGTCTGAACCTGAATGCCCAAGACGCCTCAGTTGACCAGCAAACTTTCTGTTGCTGCTGTTACACAAGTTTACCCCCGGGGCATTACCCAGCTAATAATTGTCTCATTTGGGGTCCGACAAAAGTTAATTCATCAAAGTCAGTTCGAAATATTAAAAAAAAAAATTTTAAGCTACTGTAGCTAGCATATTTAGCTACATCTACTTCTTACAAAAGTGGGCGTGGTTTCATCTAAAGTGGGTGGGAAAACTGATAGATGCTACCTGCTGGAACAGGCCGACTGTTTAAGAACTGTTCACCCAAACAGCTTTACACTCGATACTGCACTTCCTTGGGTTGCGAGCAAAACACCTGCCAAGTGTGTAGTTGAGAAAACTAAAGGACAAGATGTATAGAAGGATAGAGACTCCTTTAATTTTAGATCGATGAGCATCATGTCGACACACCACCATCACGTCAGAACTTTCCTCCGTTATGTCCGTCAGTTTCGGTGCCCTCGTGCCACCATGGACATTTTGAAATATTTCCTGTTTTTATCGTTTATTTTCAAAGTTCCTGTTTTAACTCTTCGGTGACATTTGTGCGAATTAAACCAAAAAATAAAGCAGACCGATTACGCTAATTATCTCATCTCGTGTCAGGTGGAAATGAGACAAGTCTGCGCAGAGTTTGGTGAACGTGAAATAATCAAACGAGCAAAACTTCAGAGAGAAGTTTGGGGAAACGTTCTTGCACGAGGCCCCGAGCGTGTCCCTGTGCAGCGTCATCATAAACCAGCATGTGTGATGAGAGCACAGAACCTTGAGAGGAAATGAGATGCGATTTCTTTTCATCCCTGCGGTTTTTAAGAATGGGGCCAGCACCTGATCACAAGTATCACCCTCTGAAGTTACTGCGGTCAGCGATGTGTCATCATTTCATTCAATGAGCCTGTATTAAAATATAATAAATACATCCAAATGAGAGACATTTCCAGAGAGCGTCTGTGGGAAACATTCACTGAGGTGCTCCGAGCTGACGGAGGCCAGCGGGGAGCCTGGAAGGCAGAGCAGAAGAAGAAACGGTTTGGTTGTATTTTGGTCATGTTGTCATCGTTGTTGTTGTTGTTGTTGTAATCCTTGTTTAGTGTTTGGCTTCTTGTATTTAAAGCAGCTTTGGTGAGCACGGAAAAACACACAAACACACGACACCTCCTCAACAGAAAATCAGTTTACACCCCGACCTCAGAGTGGGAATGTTGTGCCGGCGGCGACGTGTCCGCTGTGAATGGCTGCATGTCCAACTGTGCATTAACACGTCCCGCCGCAGTCAACAGCTTCGCTCTCTGTGCTCAACCACCGTCTGACGTGTGTCTGCATGTGTGTGTGTGTGTGTGTTAGATGGTGTGTGTGATGTAGAAGATGAACTCCATGTCCATGGCAGTCTGTGGTACACTGGCGCTACCTCCGTGGATGACGGGGATCAGAGCGCTGTCCAGCTCGTTCATGTAGCGCTGAGGGAGGAGCCTGCCCCCGGAGCCCGCCTGGTACTCCACCTGAGAGCAAACACACAGATACTCACTGTACCTCTTTAACTGAGCACAGGATAGTTTCAATACTGCACTGTGGCACTGTGGAACATCATTACTAGGGTTGGGACTCGTTAGGATTTTAACGATTCCGATTCCTTACCGATTCCTTCTTAGCGATTCCTACATTATATTCATTATACTCGCTATACTTAAACAAGTATATAATAAACACAAATGCAATAATACAAATACAAAAACTTTATTCTAACTGTTGCACAGTACAATTAGATGAAAATACACATTTGTGTGTGGTGTGTATTTCAGATTTAGAGCTTATATCATCTCCCTGAGAATATATAACAACAACAAGTGATTCTCTGATTTCTACAGTAACACTATTGCCTCAAATTAACCACAACAATGTAATAAAAAATACTTATATGCATTCATGTTTGGGCACTGTTATTTACGTGACAACACCTGAACAGAACACACACACACATTGGCTGTTAGTTTCACCCCTCGCTGGAAGCCTCGGACCTCCAGCCGCCCGCTCCCGTCTCAAACACGGAGGTCTCCCTCTCCGCGGAGCACCCGGCGCACACCCGGCCTATTAAATAGCCTGTAACCATGACAACTGTGTGACACAAACTCAGTGCTTTAGTCAGTAAATAATGTCGGGCTCGGTCGTTTTTTGTTTTTTTTTTTTACAATCTAGGAATCGTTTGCAGGAACCGTTACGCCAAATGTGATGGAACCGGTTCCAGAACCGGAACTTTGGACCCGGTTCCAAAAAGAACCGGATCCGGATCCCAACCCTAATCATTACTGTCAATATTAAATAAATACATAAATAAATATCCCAATGAATTAAATATAAATGACTACAGAATAAATATAGATTTGAAATTAATAAATATGTCTATAACATAAATACATAAATGTAGCTATAAAAATATGGCTATCAAATAAATAAATAGGGCTCTAAAATGAATAAACGTAGCTATGAAATCTATAAAACAATGAAATATGACCATTAAATGAATGAATAAAACTGTTTATAAAATAAATAAATATGGCTACAACATAAATATATGTGGCTATAAAAAATATGGCTATTAAATAAATCCATATGGATCTAAAATAAATAAATACGCCTTAAAATATATTTAAAAAACGATGTATGACTATAACATAAATAAATAAATGAGTCTTCAAAATCTATAACACAAAGAAATATAACTATAAAATGAATAAATAAATATAAATATGACTCTAAAACAAAAAAATGTGGCTATGAAAACTTGAGAATAGATAAATATAGTTCTAACATAAATAAATATGGCTATTAAATCTATAAATAAATATTTCTACACAAAATAAATAAACATGACTCTAAAATAAAAAAATATGACTAAAATAAATAAAAATAAATTTAAAAAATAAATAAATTTGGCTATGAAATAAATCCTGAAATAAATGAGAGCAAACACACAGATACTCACTGCACCTCTTTAACTGAGCACAGGTTATTCTAAATACTGAACTGTGATACTGTGGAACATTATTACTGTCAATATTAAATAAATACATGAATAAATATCCCAATGAATAAAATATAAATGACTATGGAATAAATATAGCTATAACATAAATAAATAACTGTAGCTATAAAAATATGTCTATTAAATAGATATGATTATAAAATAAATACATGTAGCTAAATGAATGAATAAAAATGTTTATAAAATAAATAAATATGGCTACAACATAAATATATGTGGCTATAAAAAATATGATTATTAAATAAATCAATATGGATCTAAAATAAATAAATATGCTTTAAAATATATTTAAAAAAAGGATATGTGACTATAACATAAATAAATAAATAGGTCTGTAAAATAAAAAAAAATGCGTCTTCAAAATATATAACACAAAGAAATACAACTATAAAATGAATAAATAAATAGATAAGGCTATTAAATCTATAAATATTACTAAACAAAACGAATAAATATGGATCTGAAATAAATAAATGTGGCTTTAAAATCTATAAAACAAATAAATATGCATCTAAAATAAATAATTGTGGCTATGAAATCTTTAAAATAAATAAATAAATATGACTATAAAATACATAAATATGGTGCTAAAAAATAAATGTGACTTTAAGCTATAAATAATAAACATGACTCTAAAATGAAAAATATGACTAAAAAAATAAATAAAAAATAGATAAATCTGGCTGTGAAATAAATCCTGAAATAAATGAATCAGGAAATAAATGTGAATATAATGAAATGTAAAATTCATAATGAAATTCATAACCTATTTTATTTACATTTATTTATTAGTTGCATGTTTGTGTGAACTGCTATATAAATTAAATTAATTTAATTTAATTAAGTTACTTTGATAACAAAATTATCTTTTAGGGAAATGCACCAAATAATTAAATACCAAAAAAACACTGACATATTCAGCCAGTTTTTTTTTTTGTTTTTTTTTCCCAGTTGCCCGCAAATACTGAATTTTCTTGTTGCTGAAATGTGATCAACAAATAAACGTGGCTGACCGTGATTCCTCTCACTGGACAGACTATCTCCAAACATCAAACAATGTCTGCAACTGCCACCTATTTTACAGCCAGGGGCCTCGATGATGTCATTGGCTGACATTTTAAAAAGGTAAAGGTCACACAGTCGATCAGGCAAAATTCACCAAAATCCCGACCCTCTGCAAACCTAGTTACAAGCTTTCATTTTTACCATGTCCGCCTGTGTGGAGATACGAAGAGACAGCGAGTTGATGCCGCTGGAGGTGAGGACGGCGAGGTGAGGAGTCAGAGCGCTGCAGGCGGCCAGAGCCATCTCCTTCTGAAACACACTGCAGGACGACAGCACCGACGCCAGGCTGCAGTCTGGAGTCTTGAGCTGGTAGAACACCTGGAAGGACATGGAGACCTTCACACACCTGGACTGTCTGTCGTCTTCACCGCACACTGGACACTTAAAGAATGAGGTAATGAAAAGGAAAACTGACCTCGGTGCATCTGATGGTGCGCCCATCTGACTCAAACTCCGTGTCCTGCTGCATCCTCACACTGGTGACTCCATCCAGAGGTCGGCCGTCGACCCCGCTCGTTTTGCTGCAGAGGAAAATTAAGACCTTTACACGCCGCGGTCGTCACAAATAACACAAAAAACACAAAATACTTTCCTGCGAACATTTTGCATTGAAGGTATTCAGACATGCAGGGATAAGAATTTGCTTCATTTGCAGATCTTGTTCAATAAAAAGTTCAAACAGATTCGCTCTGAGTGAATCTGAGTTTCCTCTGGTGGACAGTTACACAGCGTATATGTCCAGGGCTTTTATTGTGAAAGGCAAGAAGGCAAGAGGTGGATCTGGTGTGCACTGCCTTTGTCACTGAAATCTCACTTGTTCCAAAAAAAACAAAAAAACAAAACAACAACAACAACAAAAGCATTAAGTTGTTTTTTCACAGTGAAATATTCATGTTCTCTGTGGAAGAACTTTGAAATTTGAAAACTAAAATTGTTGCCCCATGTTTGTATGTCTTCAGAAGAAGGGAAAGATATCTGTGATTGGTTGTTCCTCATCACATGACATGCGGAGTGTGCTGCTGAGGTTGAACTCAATGCTTGTTTATCTCGGGGCACAGCCGTTGCGCCCTCAAAAATGGCACTCAGGAACATGTGAGAGCCACAACGGCGTCACTCTGGCGTTTGACTGCACCTGCTGCACGTCTACATCGAAAACAATGATTTTTAAGGCACAAAAAATGTGACGTGTGTACGAACAGTTAAGCATTTGTGTGAATTTTTGAGTTACGGCCAAAAACATGTTTTGTGATGTCACAGTGACCTTTGACCACAAAATTCTGATCAGTTTATTCTTCAGTCTGAGTGAGCGTTTGTGCCAAATTTACAAAAACATCCTCAAACTGTTCTTGAGATACTGCCCTCACAAAAATGAGATGGATGCAAGGTCACAGCGACCTTGACCTTTGACCACCAAAATAGGTTCACTTTATCGTTAAGTCCAAGTGGACATTGGTACCACATTTAAAGAATTTCCGTTGAGTTGTTCTTGAGATATCACGTTCACGAGCATGGGACAGCCAGACGGACAACCTGGAGACATACTGCCTCCTGCCTCAGCTATCTCTGGCCTGGAGGTGTAAAAATATAGTGACCTGAGACTCACTCACACAAACAAAAAATGCCCAAAATGTGTTTGAGTCACAAAACAGTGAGCACGTATGGCCAAAGTCCATTCAGTCCCTTCAGATGTTTTTTGTTTGTCTTAAAAAAAATCGACCATGGTTCAATATTTACAGTTATTAGTTATTGACAAGGCACATTTCCCGACCTACACATTCACTCATATACATTTTGTGAACAATGACCTGGTATTTGACACATCTCTAGTATTTTTTTTTTTAATTTGAACTCTAACGGACGTGTTCAGTTTTTAATATAAAGCTCCATCTTGTGTTTCTCCCACACCGCAGCTCAGCACAGAAACTTTGAGTCTCAGGAAACCGACTAACTTTAGACGATACACTTCACTCGACTCTCTCATATCAGCTTCAAACAAACTGCGGCATGTATTTGTACTCAGAACGAGGTCTGTGGAGTTTGTTCACCGTCTCTTCCATCGGACGCTTGTTATAAAGAAGTCTCAGGAGCAGTTCCAGTTTACACTGTGGACACCTGACTCTTTAAAGACAATCTGAACTTGTCTTTTAATAGACGACAGGAAAAAGCAGTTCAGAAACTATGTTCAGAGGACGTTGAATCAAACGTGCCTCTGTGGCTACTCGGCCTGTAACTGTTTGTGTAATCATGCCGAGGCATCAGGGTCGGGGGTCACGGTCTGGTTCATGCAGCCACACACTGAGTACACAGTGTGTAGTTAAGGTCGGCTGATACTGGATTTTTAGAGGCTGATATAATAAAGTCTCCGGGGCTGGACCCACTGATCAAGCTCCTTTTTCTTCATTCTAACACAGACCTCCAGCTCTGGCGAGGATCTAAGTCCCTGTGTGACTGGTGGAGGCTGTGCGGGCATAGCAACAGTTTGCAAAGTGTCCTGTCGGCGCTAATTAAACAGCCAAACTGATAAATCGGTCATCCCCACTGAACCAAACTTGCACCAAACTCCTCCTGGCTGTGTGAACTCAAGAAAACAAAAGGTAACAGGAGCAAAAACATTTCACTGCTACACACTGCGGCACAAAGAGTTGCCCCATGCATGACCAGCGTGTGTAGAGCGCAGACTGCACAAGAGTGTGTACACAGTGGTGTGAATGTGTGCCGTTACCCCGTGTTGACAGGTGAACTCCAGTCGACCCAGCGGACAGTGACGTTTTCTCGGAGCTCCCCTCCATCGTTCCTGCCACAGGGTATGTGGAAGTCCGTCTGCTCCCTCAGGGCGGTGCGCAGAGACTCCATGGTCTCTGGAGGGATTTGCACCATCAACCCATCTGACACACACAGAACACAAACTCCAGTGAGGGTCGGTGCCAAAACAGTCAAACACTGTACAATAAGAGTCAACACAGACGTAACTTTACCTTCAACGATGCTGGACTTGGCGATGTAGCCTGAGGAGGCTTTCAGGGCTCCGTTAAACACCACAAAACTGGCCCCAGTCACTGGAACAGAACACCACAGGGTTAACCGATCATATAAAACAGAACCAAGACACAATTACCAGGATTACTGATGGCCCTCACCTGTGCGGGTCTTCCCAGGCTTGCTGTTGGCCTGCGTCTGATAGTTTCCCTCCTCGTTCTGGAAACACACCAGGTGAGAGTCGGCCTCCAAGCTTAACCTCGCTCCGATGCTGATGACGTGCTCGTTGGACGCATTCACCACCTTCTGCATCTGCACGACCCAGAAAACATGTTCACAGTTCTGCAGAGCTCAACTGAGGAAAGCTGACACCTGTGAGAGAAACTTGGTCTCTGGCAGCGGTGGAAAAAGTATTTAGATCCTTTATCTAAGTAAAAGTATGTATAGTGAAGTGAAGTCTTCCATGCTCTCACTGTTATCCTTCTACCTGATGTTTTTGGATTAATATTCCTGCTGCAATAACGTGTCATTTTCCTGCTGTGACAGGAGGTCAGGGGCCAGTCGGCAGCCCTGCATATGTACGAAGGGATGTTTCTAGGATTTGAAGACATTTAAGGTGTAAGTGGCATTTATACTTCTGCAGTATCTGTGTCGACGTAACCTCCGCAATAGCATAGCTGACTCTACACTGAGGCCCTGTTTAGTCTGTCCTTTGCGTTTTAAAAATCTTCTGCGTTTATATGGCGACGTTACTGAAATGATCTCCGTTCACACAGAGCCGCAAAATCTACTGGAAACGCTGTAGTATGCACGCCAGGCCAATGGGTGGCAGTGTAAATTTGCAAAGCAACACCACGGCATGACGCCATGCCTGCGCTGAAGCACCTTCCTCTGCAACGCGGTGATTACAAACCAAAACAAAGAAGACACAATGGCGAAAGCACGCACAGATAACTTTGTCTGGATGGACGACGAGGTGGAGTTGCTACAGTAACAGATCTACACTTCACTTCAAATCAACAGGGTGAGCAGCACAAACAGAGCTCGCCATTGTTGTTGTGACGGTCAACATGCCTCGTGACTGGAACCGCAATGCGCATGTGCGAAAAGTCTCCGTTTTCAGAGGAACTGCATATTGCAAGTTTACATGACAACGGAGACGCTGCCGTTTCCAAAACGTTGCACTCTGGAACCCGTTTTCGAATCGTTGCGTTTTCAGGCACCCAAAACGCCGCTGTCGTGTAAACGATCGGCCAAAACGCAACTTAAGTTTACAGATTTCAGTTGAAATCGTTGTCGTATAAAAGGGGCCTGAAGCTCTATTCATCACAGCATCATACAGCCTGACACTGACTGCAACCAAGACTTGATTAGACCCGTCTCACTCAGTGTGACATGAGATAAACTTGCACGATTAATGTTATCACAAAGTCAACACAGATGCCTTTAAGGACGTGTAGCTGTAAGTGGTAGTTTGAGATTTGGGGAAACACGGATTTGTTTTCTTGTTAGGTGAGAGGATTGATACAACCCTCGTGTCCGTGAGGGAAATGTGAAGACACGAGAGCAAAATCAATTTTCCCCTCTAACTCTTGGCAGAAAAGTGAAGGAGTTTATCTCACTAGATGTCAAATTATTCCTTCCCAGCTCTCGTACCTCGTTGAAGCTAATTTTGGGGATGTCAATGTAGCTGTGGCCCATCTCCATGTGGATCCTCAGGCCCTCCACCACTGACAGGCTGTACTGGTAGTTCCTCAGGTCCTGTGGATGAAACCGTTTACTGAACTCTGAATCATGTCTGCAAAGGCCAGCAATGTACATCTGCTATTGGTACCCTTAGTATTTCACTCATTTTGATGCACAGATTTTCAAGTCAAAATAAAATCACAAAGAGAGAACAAGAAAGAAAGAAACACACATTTATCTCTTCAGAAGAATCCTGTGATCACCTGCGTCAAACTGCACCATCCTAACTAGGTCTGTCTGAAAGCTGTGGTAGCAAAGCTTAAAAATATCAAACTGTTTGTAATTAAACCGTGATGATATTCTCAGTTTCCTCTCTTTTAACCAGGCTTCGTCTTCAGTGCCATTTGGGACTTGTAGGGAATGATTAACAGCAGACAGGAGCTCTGCAGCTACTTAATTACAAGCAGTTACAAACATGGTTTCAGTGGGAGTAAGGAGTGAAGTACACAGCTTTACCTCTGACGATACTTTAAAAGACATCCGTATGTGTTTTAATACTTACAGCCAGTAAATTCATGATGGTGTGTCCCGTCTCTCGATACACAGAGTCCCGAAAACGGACACTTGTCAACGTCGTGGGATACACTGGAAAAGAGAAGAATATTCAGTTTGTTATAGCAGTGACACTATAATTAATCAGCTTTATTTAAAATTATAGTTATCTTGGTGGAAACATAATGTGCATGGTTTGCTTTAAAGGAGCAAAATCAAAAATATGATAATAATATTTAATGTTTTATTTAGGGATAACATTTCTCCTCAAATAATTTTGAATAAAATAAACTTTAGAGCTGCAACTAAAATTCATTTTCATTATTTCAATTGATCATTTGGTCTACAAAAAAAAAAAAAAAAAAAACAATTTATTAAAGAATTATTATTAATTTTATTTTTTTAATTATTTTATTCATTATAATAGTTGTTTTCCTTTATTTACTTAGTGATTTATTTCATGTTTTATTTTTTATTTTTATTGAAATTTATTTTTTTATTTTTTATTCAATATCTTTTATTTTTCAAGTGTGTTCTTACTGTGTTTTTGACATTTTGTACATGTTTACATGGAAAAAGAAGCGTGACAATAACATGTTTTGTTATTTTCAAAAATGATGATTCACATTAAAAAAATTAGAAATAATTTGTTTTTTTTAAAAGAATTAATTTATTATAATTTTTTTTCCTTATATATTATTTTCATGTATTTATTTATTTATTTTTGTTTATTTAAATGTATCTATTTACACAGTAAAAATAAACAATTTATGTTTTTTTTTAATTCATTGATTTATCATTATATATAATAATTACTGTTTTCCCTTACTTATTTATTCATCTATTTATTTTATTTTATTTTTATTTTCAGAAGAGTCTTCTTCTTATGTCTCACATTATTTTGTTTATATAGAAAAGAAGTAAAGCAATACCATGTTTTGTTATTTTCAAAAATTATTCATTGTTTTTCCTTATATATTTATGAATTTATTTTTTCATGTATTTATTTTTATTTATTTAAATTCATCTATTTACACAGTAAAAAATAAGAAACAATTTCTTATGGGGTTTTTTAAATTCATTGATTTATCATTGTATATAATAATTACTGTTTTCCTTTACTTATTTATTCATCTATTTATTTAATCATTGTATTTATCTATCTATTTTTTTTTTTTTTTTGAAGAGTCTTCTTCTTATGTCTCACATTATTTTTGTTTATATAGAAAAGAAGTATGGCAATACCATGTTATCCTTGAAAATGATGGTTTACAATAAAAAACATCTGAAACCAAGCACAACCGTCCAGAGCCCACTCACCGCTGTACTCGGCTCCAAGCCGCAGAAGCAGCCTGAGAGGAAAGACTTTGGCCCAGGGCACCTCCAGCTTCTGGACGAGCAGGCCGAACAGGAAAGGCTGAGCGGGGAGAGTGAGGCCATCTAGAGGCTGACAGGTGGGAGAGAAGAAGAGCATCCCAGCGTGGTCCTTACTGCCCAGAAAACTGTTGGTGAACGTCACGTTATCCAGCTCCTCCAGGAACTTCCCTGTAACAGAAGATCACGACTCTGTAGTCTCTGTTTTAACCAAGGCAGACAAACAGCCTGAATGTGCTGTATCTACCTCTCTGGGCTTCTTGGTAAATGTTGAGATAGAGCGTGAAGAGGTCTTTGGGGAGAGTTTTTTCTTCTGGCAAACACTCCAACAAGAACACCAGCTCTCTCTGGCCCAGAGCCTGCAGCCCGTTAGAGCCGAAACACCAACACTGCCGACCGGAGTCTGACGGAGGAAACAAAAACAGAGAGTTATTAGGGGCTCGATCTGTGAGGGAGCACGGGAACACATCCAGGATCAGGCTGTATATGATGTGTGCTGACAGCCAGTTTATTTGTCATATAAAATCGAAAGTGATTTGAGATATTTTCTGCTCACATGTGACCAGTTTGACGTTGATCAGCAGGTTGGCATTGAGAACAAATGTCAGCGGTCGGGGTCCTCCCTCCTCTAATAAGTGCAGGATCTGACACGGGGCGGGACTTTCCTCAACCAACACATCTGGAATTAATAAAAAACAGCAGAGCACATTTAAAGCCACATGCTTGAGATTCAGTGACAGATTTTTGTCAGTCAGACAGCACATTTCTGTGCGATATTTGACACCTGTTGGATGAGAGGGTGCAGTCACTGCTGGGAAACAGTGGTGAGTTGAAAAGTAAACTTTTAAGTAGACAAATGTTTTCAGTTCTCTCACAGGCTGCATCAGAGACAGATGTTAAAACTTATTTTGCGATTGACATTTTAATAAAATGACCACTGTGAGTGTGAGGGACACTTGTATCGCCCACACTCTGGTGAGTCTCTTACATTTTTAACTTGACCAGGCGTAAACCTGGAGGGAATCAAAGCTTTGGAGGTGTCTGTGAAAGTTTGTATCTGACTGTTCACTGCTAATCTCAAACTACTGGACCAATCAGCCTCATATTTTGTGTGCACTTTTTTGACTGTATGCCAGTGCTTATTTGGTTGACAAAAACTATGGTGAAGATTTTTCATCAATGACCTTTTTTCCCACCACAAAAATGAGACGATGACGAGCTAAAAACAGATCTTGATGATAAAAAAACTAAGACAAAATCTGTGCTTCATTTTCGCTGACGAGATGAGACGGAACGAAACGTCAGTGGTGGACTATCCGATATTGAAAGTGAAAAACTGAAGCCGTGCTTGTAATGATCTTCAGATGCCTGATGAGCGACAGGCTGGTAAACTCCAGTAAATAGTCTGCACCAGGATGTTTGGGTTGGTGCGAGTTGTGAGCTGTAAATCAGCAGTAAATAATCAGCCGTGTGTGTCTGACTGTGGATGGTGGAGCTGCTGAATGGATTTGTGGAGTTTGTTAGTTGCAGTTAGCAGCTAGCTCCGCTCGCAGACTTCACAGCTTCACCCCGCAGGACTCCACTCAGTCCGGACTGGAGAAGGTTTGTGGGTTGATGGTGTTTGACAGGCAGGTAGGAGACTCAGTTATCTGTGAGTGTAGCAGTGCTGTAAGTAAACAGTCTGAACTCAGATCAGTTTTCTCTGACAGAGATGAAAGTTTAGTTTGAATCACCAACTCTGTGAGAGGACACCAGTTTAAACCTCCAGACTAACATGTTGCACATGAAGAAACAAGTTATGTTTCTGCTTCTTAACAGTCACATGGATAAGTCAGAGTTTACAATGAACCTGGGGACAAATCCTAGTTGGCTCACATTAGTTATTTGTTGAGAGCATAAATAGAGAGATGTTGAGCTTTTCAGATGATGATCAGTAAGTGTGTGCTCGTAAATCAGCCCTTAAACCTGTCACACACTGCTGGAGACATGACACACACACATTATTTTATACAACCTGTCACCTTGATTCTGATTTATGATCTATGAATTAACCTCACTGGATTAGTTTAAAGTGACTAAAAGACTAAAATCTTTTGATTTTTTATTGACTAAAACTATGAAGGATAAAAATGACTGAAGTGTGACTTGAACTAATAAACACTGTCGTCTCAAGACTCAGACTAAATCTAAAATAGCTGTCAAAATTACAACTGCTGAACCTCAAGGACCTCTTGTTGTGGTGATTCATAGTTGTTGAAAAACCTGTTTTACTGAATGTTTCATGTCACTGCTGATTCCTCACTCCTCTTGATCAACCAGTAGGGGCCACAGGTTTTCTGGAAATTGGCCCGGCTAAAAACAACAAGCCTTACTGTCTGTTGCAGGAAACATTTTGTCCTTCGTTGTGGCTTAAAAACTGACATCCATTGAAACGTTTGGAATCATTTTGAACCAGAGCATCTGCAGATTTATTCCATACCCGCTAAATTTTGATGCACGACAGTTAGGCACAATACGAGATCAATAAATCGTAAATTTGCTTGTTATCTAATTTATACGTTGTAGAATGCCATAGGCTTGTGCTAATAGTGTTAGCATGTTGTATTTGTGGGGAAAATGTGTCCAGATAAAGACAAGTGTTTGTCTGTGAATGCTGCGAGTTATAGTGAAGCTGATTTGTGTTTGACACTGTCTCTATGAAGCCATGTTTAATGTGTGTTTAATGTGTGTTTTGAATCAACTGAACTTTACAGCACTACACCGCCGACTAGTGTTTTGGAGGTGTAACTGCAGAGTGACACAGACACACCACCGCACAAGAATAAATGCTCACAACAGCGTAGAGTCTGCCACACAAGTTTAAATCCCCCTCAAAACTGCCAAAGCACTCAGTAAAGAGTTACATGTCTGAAAGGAGCCACAGAAAACATACAAGGACACTGAAATAAAACACACACCTCCAGCTTCATCCTCTCCAGTGATGATGAGCAGTGGTGGGAGTTCATCCTCGTTGTCTGGCAGCAGACTGGGAACCCTCTTCACTGAAGTACCGATCCCAGAGAGCAGGGCGTAGTCCCAGGGTCCAGACAGCGGAGGTCGAACCACCTCCACAGCCCCTGAAGCTTCAGGAGCGGAGGAGCCACCGACTCCAACCTCTGACCCTGCAGAGCCAGGCTGAGAGGAGAGAGTCGGTCACTGTGGGAGCTTTCAACTTTAGAGGATTCAGTTATTTTTAATCTTCATGTTTTATTATTTATAATCTAACTGTGAGGCAAAAAATGGTCTGTTAACCACCTGGGGAAGAACTCAACTTTCTCAAAACATGGTAACCAGTTTAAGAGACGGTGAGAGCAACAAGACAATGTGAAAAAGTCCTGATAAAAGAATCTCTGCTGCTCTGCTGCGTGGATGATGTTTCTGTGTCTTACTGTTTGGTCCGGAGAGACGGCACTGAACTCCTGGGAGCTCCGCCGGCTCGTCACCGACAGCTTGGTTGTGTCTGCCACCTCTCCGTTGGGCAGGATGCCATCAGCGAACCACACGCGCTTCTGTTCACGAGGACAACCTGATAACACACAGAAGTCTCTTCAAGGGTACGGCTCAGGAAAACAACACTGACAGTGAACGTACAGAGCGTGTTCAGTATTTAAGAGCAGTCATACTGTCGTTGTTTGGGTGTTTGAGAACGGACACAGGCACCATGACGGTCGGCGGAGGAGAGTTAAGGGTGCCGGCGGCTCGAGCCTGCTGCAGAGGGGGGATGGTGCTGCAGTACTCAGACGGGACGTTGGGGTTGGGACTGGGACCCGAAGGACTCATCATCCGCTCCAGGGCCTGGGCTGCAAGGAGAAACGTGTCATGGAGGTGGGTTAATTTTAGCTTAGTTTCAAGAGTCTGTGGATGAGTCCAGACTGAAACAGCTCAACAACTAACAGATGGATTATGTTGAGTTTTAATGCAGACTTTTACAATCCCCTGATGATGACTTTGCAGATCCTCTGATTTAATCTCCAGTGTCATCAGGAGGTTTATTTATTTGTGGATTTGAGTGAAATGTCTCCACAGTAACAGGGTGCATTCACATGGGATTCCTTACAGACGTTCATCTTCCTGTCAGGATGAATTGTGATCCCTTTACTTTTCATCTCACGCCATCATCACTTCAACATGTTAATGTGTCCAATACTTTAGTTTTTGGTCAAATTCCTGAAACACTAATGACATTCCCATCAGCCTCAGTTGTTCTTTGCTGTACAACAGTTAACGTGAGGGCGCAATAAATGCAGTATAATAGTAGTTGTCATACTTGAGGTCTGTTTTTATGACAGCCATATTGTTGTTTAGTTCCTTCATTATATTCAGTTCACAAGTTCATTTTCCCCGTCAAACTATTTCACACTTCACTGGTGTCAAACTGTTAACCTCTTGCACTCCACCCTCATTTTGTAGCGAAAACGCCTAAAATGACATACCCAAATTAAAATGACTGTAGCTTCTGAACCGCTCTGACTACATGCATGCATGAGGTGTTGCCAGAAAGAAAACTCCCTGAAGTTTCTTGTGAAAGTGTCAGAAACACTCTAGGTGATACTGAGACAGAGTAATGGGCCTCTGAAGTCAGTAAAAAGTTGAAGATTTTGTCTAAAATAAAATAAAAAATGTGTTTCAGGATGAATAACTGTCTGTGGCTTCATCTGAGCAGGTAAATGACACTGTGGGGCTGTAGGCACACTATCAATGAACACTTGTTTCAAATTTGAAGAAGACTGCTCAAAGTATGACCATTCTACAGTGTTTTATCCATGAAAAGATCCAGGCGGAGCTCCAAATGACAAGTCGGTCACTAGGCTTCAAAACAGTACTATCAGTGATCAAACAACACTCAGCCAGCTTCAAACATTGTACCTTATTGAAATCAGGTGTGATTATGATAGCTGATGTTGTTTATGACACAGAAACACCATAAAATATCACCAAATAAAGCCATATGAAACGTGAAAGTTATGATCCCACTTTCTAGACGGTGTATCTCAGACAAAAATAGTGGTAGGAGTGAGACTCTTACCTTTTATAAAACAGCTAAGTCCCCGCTAACAGCTCCACATAAGATCACGAGTAATCCTTTAACTTTTCCCCTCGAAAAACGGCATGACATGACTTGTCACCACTCATCGTGATTTTGGACTTTGTGTGTTTAGGCTGCTCTGGTGCGAAAAACATAATAAATAAAAGAAAAACGATGTTATTTCTGAAAAGTCGAGAGCTTCCTGAATCCAGCAATACCAAACATCACATGGTTTGATAACGTAGTGCGCCTGGGAGATACCATTTAACAGAGGATGAGGGGAGCGGGGCGTCGGCATCCTGGCATAGTTGAAAATGTTTTTCTGTTAAAACACCTATAAACACCTGAGGTATGGACAGTAACAGAGTCATATTGCTCCACAGTATGTAGGTACTGTTGTGTTTTCATGTTTGGACTCACTCTGTGTCCATTTAAATGAACGTCAACACAAGATGTAGAACTTTTTTTGTTAGCTTTCTTTCTAATATTGGATATTTCTGATAAAAGCAGCTCTGAAGATGAACCTGAAGCAGCTGATGAGTGATCAGATATCAGATCAGATCATTCACAAGCAGAACTGGAGCATGATGAGCATGACTGTGCTCGCTCAGAGGACACACACTGGACACAAAAACAGCCTCACAGCCATGTTGCAATGACCACGAGGCACTAACTGTGATTTCTGATCACTGTTATGACTAATTTCTGCCTTGAAGCTGCTTGTGTGTCGCACAGTGTGATACTGCAGCACATCCTGAAGCTACGTTTCATTGTTTTCAATACAAAGGATTCGGAAACTACCAAAATCAGACACATTTAACCTTTGACTGACAGCTCTGCTCCCCTACAGCACATCCTGTGGTGCAGATGAATGAAGGTTAGTGCAAACAGCACAGACATGAGTTGTTGCTTCCAGGAAAGCTTCCAGGCGGTGACTGAGAGGCTTTCTAAATGCCTCTCCGGTTGGACTCTCTCACAAAATGCTGATGCAGCACTCGTCTACATTATATTGATTAAGCATCATAGATCTTTATTGATCCGTTGCGTACTGACAACAAGAACAGTGTGGCTTACAAAAGCACAGGAACTCAGCCACATCGAGAGGACACACACCGCAAAGACATTACAGTAGGATGGACTCTCTTCAGTTACACAGCATCACTACAAGTTGTTTCACCTTGTTCTGCAAAGAAATGATGACAAGGCACAAAAACAGTCATCCAAGGCTTTGGGTAATTACTTGGTCGGGTACTGAACTTGGTACTTTAAACGGACCAGACGATCTCCATCGGCACTACTGAGTATCGATTCACATTTAATTTGCCAAATTTCAGCACCTGAAAGCACATCTGGATGAGAACGTCGGGTTTCGGCAAGAGGCAAAGTGCCATGAAGCGCCCCAAAGCTCTGAGGTCAGCAACAGAGCGCTGCAGAGCCACCAGTTAAAATTCAGACAGGATTTGGAAGCGTCCCAAAGCCAAGAAGCAACCATGGAGCACTGCGAATGGTCCGTCGGCTCTTTTATCGCTGCAGCGCCGATCTGCTGCAACAGTTTCAGCGTCTAGTCTATTTACTTTTCTTTATCATTGTAGTAATAGTCTTATTATCACTGTTAGATGAGCAGACACGACGGGCAGAGAAAGAAGGGAGACAGTTTTGCGCAGGCTAAAAAGCAGAGCCCAGACTAACGGTGTCCCAACATCTCAGGGACGATAGAAAACATGAAATCTTCCCCAGGATGCCTGATGTTCTCCCCATGTCAGCGTGGGTTTCCTCCAGGTGCTCTGACATGTTCTCCCTGTGTCAGCGTGGGTTTCCTCCAGGTGCTCCAGCTTCCTCCCACAGTCCAAAGACATGCAGGTTAACTGGTGACTCTAAATTGTCCGTAGGTGTGAATGTGAGTGTGAATGGTTGTATGTCTCTATGTGTCAGACCTGTGATAGTCTGGTGACCTGTCCAGGGTGAACCCTGCCTCTCACCCAGTGTCAGCTGGGATAGGCTCCAGCCCCGTGACCCCTAACATGATAAGCGGCTACAGAAAAAAAAAGAGCGAATGTTAAATGGAGATGGACGGAGCCTTCTGTCCGTCCTCTGCACACGTTTTCTAAAAGCTTACGGCCAAAACACAGCAGTACCATCCAAGATCTTGGAGGCAGCGTAGCGTAGTTCAGGCGAGATGTGATCGTAGGAGACGACAGTGACACTTCAATAATGGCAGAACGAAACAAATCGGTGGTATATGCTGATGTTTTCACAGCAATCTATAACAGATATTAGAAAGGGAATTATGACACAGTATATACAGGGTGTCTACAGGCATCAAACAGTTAAATTTAATGCTTTTAAGACCCGCTTAAGACACCAAATTTAGGACAGATTTTTGGACAAATCTTATTTTAATTATCTAAGCATCACAGGTAAGTAGTACAGATGTGGTCTTGTGCAGAGGTAAGTGTTATGTGCAAGTATAAAGTACATTTTTAAAGATTTGTAGCACTGGAAATGTGGATGTTTAAATCACTCATTCACTTCACTCATTTACACAAAAAGAAATTAAGAGATATATAAATGAAATGAGATGAAATGTTTGTGGTAGTTACGACCTCACAAATTCAACTTTAAGACTTTTTAATTACTTTTACATTTTTTAATCTAAGACATTTTAAGGACTCTGATATTGAGTAAAAAGCAATTTTTAAAAGATGTTTTCATGTGAAAGAAGATTATATTCTAAAGGCTGTTTCATACATTTGCAGGATTGAATTTGTGCTCGCTCAAAGGTATTGAAGGACTGAATGACATGAAAACAACAAAACAAATCATCAGCCAGATTGTGTTTTCTGAAGGAGTATCAGCCCAGAATTTAAATCGGTGCATCCCTACTCTATAACTTGTCCATTTCACAACAGGTTGGATGAATTGTGACCGTCCATCGTTGTGACGAATGGAAGAAGACGTGCTGGATTCTGCTGACAGCGATATCTCCAGCTGTACCGACACAACCGCTAACATGGCTGATGAATGTGTGAACGCTGTAACCATGCACAGGGCCCTTTGACCTTCTAGCGTAAGTGACGTAGGCAGCAATGAAATCTGAAAACAAGTGGTCAGCTGGGGATGCATGACACAAACAGGTCTGAGCAGCGATGTGTCCTCCTGTGGTCAGATCACCACAACATATTCACACTGGGTCAAATATTCCTCAACGCAGATTATTAACACCACAACAATCCAACAGGACACAGAAGCAGTAAACAATGACTACTTTTTAAGATTCAGCTTACCTCATCCTCATCCTCACCCTCATCATCCCCTCTGCTACAACTCAACCCGTCCAGATCACTGCGAGTCTATTCCTCAGTCTGACTTTCGACACTCCCATCACAGCTCCCCTGAAGCAGCTCCTCGCTTATCTCCGTGAGTCTACGTGTGCCGTTAGCCGTGTCAGCCCCGTTAGCTTTCGGCTGAGGTGTGTGTGTGTGTGCAGTAAGCTTCACATGCAGCTCACCACACTGTTGTGAGAGATGGAGAGCAAAAGGAGGAGGGAGAGATGACGGAGAGGAGAGAGGGATCACGTCACAGCGCTCGAGCATCCACCAGCAGCCACAAAAAGTGGATCACCTCTTTCTTCTTAATTTAGACGCCGTGTGCGAGCGTCACATGTCCGCTGCGTTAGGCGGGTCCCGTAGCACACACACGCACACACAATCAAGGACAAATGCCAGTGTCCTGCTATAACTCTCCTCCCCTCTCCATCCATCTTCCCCCTCCCCATCTCTCCTCCATGTCCATGCTGCAGTCTTTAACTATAAAAAGGTGCCTCTCTCAAACACAGACGAGTGAAGCACAGACGCTGATTTCAAATCTTTTCTTTTTTACACCAACGTGCTGTTTATGTTCATGCAAAGACGCAATTCTATATATGAATGTTTGAATATTTAATATTTGTTCAGACATGAAAGCGAGCCTCCCGAGCCGCTCTGTACGGGACGTTTTTAGTGTTTCATGCCTTAAATATTCATCAGCTGTATAATGAAAACGTTACTGTGATGTTATTAAGTTTTAATGACAACTCGTTTAGTCTATTTAAAGATGACCTGTAGGTTTAGTCTGTTCCTGTGAGAGGATGAAAAGACCAGTTCTACCCAGGGCACAAAATTAGCCCCAACCACCAGCCAAATGCTGCTTAAATATGCAGGTGTCTGGTAGAATTGCTCCACTCACCAGCCCAAAAACAACTTTCACAAGCCAATATATGAGCCCCATACAGAGGCAGGGCGTCTATAGACAGTTAAAAAATATTAAAGCTGCATTAAATTATGTTTTTGGCCAGGTGAGGGCAGCAAATCAAACTATGAATCAGTCCCTGCAGTGATTTCGGGAGCTGTTATTGGGACTGTTGTGGCCTGAAATGCAAACATAAGTTCACAGCAGCTTTTCTAAAACAATTGCGATGTACGCTGCGAAGTTTACAGACATTTCTTGCAACAAAAATTACAAATCTGTTCATAATGGCGGGGGTGTGGGGGGCGTCAACATTGAATTGGTGTTGATCAGGACCATCTCCATGAGCCACTCTCCCCCTGCTGCCTCTGACCGGTTAGCATGAGCTGACGATTAGTCGTTTAAATGATTAAACGCCCGCCCCCTCGTTAGTCGGCACCAAAAATATTAATCGTTAAACCAATTACTATTTTATTTATGTACAAGGCTGCTTAACTGTCATGCAGTCGCCCGCCACTAGTGGGTGCTACAGAGCTGTCAGACAGCAGTCCCCCTCCCCGCGGTAATGCTCGAGTAGACTGGAGTTTTAAATTGGAGCGATGTCCTCTCGTAAACCAGCGCAGTTTGGCAGCTTTGATCTAGACAATGAAAAGCATGTAGGCTGTGTCAGAAAATAAACTGGTATATAATCACTCGACTGGAGCAACACACAACCACATTCAACTCAAGCATTCGGATGTTAACCTGGACAGAACGACAGCTGCTACTGCTGCTAGCGGTGCTCGCCACACTCAGACCAAATTGACATCGTTCACCCAGAGACGCTGTGAAGATAACGCAGCTCATCACAACAATGACCTTGCAAGATACGCTTCCACTGAACTTTGTTGAAGGGTAAGGCTTCAGGAAGTTAACGGAATATGTTGAGCCTGAACGCATCGTGCCGGGACACAAAATGAGAACCTCCAGGCTGAAGCACATCCAACATAAAATGAGTGATTTCCTTTTTTTTAGACTAGTCGATGAGCCTTAATTAAAATTTTCACTTAGTCAACAGGGAAATTAGTTATCAGGAACATCCCGAGCTAACATCTCAACTCTTTCTTTAAACCCGTTAATAACCATTAGGGAACATTAGCTGTGTGATGCTAACAGTTAGCCCTGTCAGTGGGTGTGTACTGAATCACGTACTTTTTCTTTTTACTTTTACTAGGTGCTGCAGCTGCCCTTAAAAAGTACATACTGTTGCATGCAGCATGCACACAATTGGAATATGCTGCTGTGTCATAACATCACGCCCTGAACTTTGACGCTCTTGCTTTTATATCCGTTACCTTGGAGATAAAACAAACGCCACTCACCGAATTCGCCAGAGAAGGAGATCAACCCGGAGAGCTCTGCTGTTGTTACTTTGCAATACATGTAGTTTAACTTGTAGATTCTAACATCATATTTGTGACAGTGAAATTACATCTGCAGTGTTATTTTTATAGTTATATCCTTTTGTTGTTTGTAATATTTATGATTATTTTGTTCACTAAATCAATTAATATTCCTGCTATTACTGTTCAACTGGCACTGTCATCCGTCATTGGGACTTCTGACAGCTGTCAATCAACTGTCAAGCTGTCGTCTGTTTGCAGCTCATCGGACGTGACGTATCGTCCACTGCTCAGACGGTTGTAGAAAAACTTATCAACATCACATACGATGGAGGATCTTCCTAAAAATACAAGTATAGACTCGTACAAAAAGTAAATCCCTATCCAGAGTTCATCATTAGCAACAATGTTTTTGTTGGAGTCGTGAAAACTAGAATTGCTGCCCTGCAATTGTACACCTCCGCCCACCAGTCCAGTGTCTCTGACAGTCTCCATCCATGTCAGTGAAAACATGGATGCTTCACACACAAAAGATCTATACAATCAGCACAGTTTCAAGATTAGAGTCACCAAATCAGTATCTGACCAAATGTCTCCCCTTCTGTTCCTGAGATATGAAGTTAAAACATGATGATGTCACAGTCAAGCTGACCTTTAACCTTTTGACCTTTATTATTTTATCCTGTTAGACATTTGTGTGAAATTGTGTCACAATCAGCATATGAATTCTTGAGATCCAGACATTTGTGCCAAATTTGAAGAAATCCCTTAAGGCCGTTCTTGAGATATCGCGTTCACAAAAAAGAGACCGACAGGGTCATAGTGACCTTGGCCTTTGACCTATGACCACCAAAAACTAAGCATTTAATTGTTGAGTCCAACTGGACATTTGTGCCAAATTTCAAGAAATTCCCTTGAGGCGTTCTTGAGATATCAAGACAAGCATGGGATGAATGAACAACCCGAAAACATGATGCCTCTGGCATGGAGGCATAAAAAGTTGAGGCTTGAGCACCACCTGAGGGTGATGTCATGACCTTCCCTCTCCATGATGCACAGGACCACGCTGTCTAGATTTTAGATGTTGAGTCCAGGTGAATGTCTCATGGCTGCCTCCACGCCGGCAACAAAGGCATTAACAGTAGAACAGGACTGTATCTCAGAAACTACAACGAACACAATCAAGAACTGATATCTGTGAAGTCATAACAAATTAAATATCAAAGATTAACAGTCATTTGCAGCATAAACAATAATCTATTTCTATTTCAATGTGGCAATTTTCCTCATTTTCAAAATTCCTGTTTGTCTACACCTTTTTATGTGATCTAAAAATTTCAAACTTGTACTGTTAGATATGCACAAAGTTTATCCAGATTTCAAGACATTCGACCAATCAGAACAAATGTTGTGACATTTCTCCTCATCATACTAAATATCATTTTTGGCCACAAATGTGTTAAAAACACTTTTTCAAAAGGCCCTTCAAAACCACAGTCATCTGTCTAATGCTACACGTCCCTCCAGGACATGTACACACATGAATCATTGGAGCCTGTACAGCAGCTTTATCCCATTTCAGAAGTTTGTCAATAACGTTCAACTCATCAGACGGACAAAAACTCCTTAATTACTCTGCATTTCTGCAACAATCTCACCACAGTGGTGAAAATACTTCCACATTAGCATACTGAATGTCTGCACACTACTCTCTGCTCACATATCTGTCAGAAACATGTGGAGGTGAGTGTGAGCTCAGACCACAGCAGGGCCTTACCTCTGTGTATGGTATCAAAGCAGACGACACACACACGAGCCTCCTTCTCCAGGTACTTCAGCTTACACTTCCTGTTGCAGCAACCGGCACAGTAAACCTGCCACAGAGGAGAGAGTGACCAAACACGTACGCTACAGAGGAACGTGCATACATAAGAAAAAAGACACAACAATTCAGAGTGTATCTAAACATGTCCGCCTGGTTGGACCAGCAGCAGCACTCTTGCTGAGAACAATAACAACAGTCCTCTCTAATGCTGTTTTAATCACTCGCCTTTAAAGGACTTAGCTCCATCTTTAGGACACGCGGCTCAGTGGAGATCTATAGAGGGGCTGAAAAAAGAAGTGCTGACTCATGCTCTCTGTGTCCATGCATCCACTGAGCTATATTTGGTGCTGGGACGTAATCCGTTTCATTTGACTATTTCCAAAACACGCACCCCTTACAACTTTCACTGTCATTCACGTATGACATTAAGTGTTGTAAACAAAAATGCATCTAGACTTCGCACAAATAAATGTTAAAAAAAAAACAGAATTAAAGCTGATTGGACAATCTATATAGGAAACATTCAGAGTTCCCTGTAAGCGCACTGACAAACTGTGGTACTGTTCACAATTTAACGACTTAGAAAATTGGAATTGAAAAAAAAAGGTTTAAATTTTAGCTCAAGGAATTCATCGTGACAGGGAGACGTTTCTCTTTTTTTTTTTTTTTTGTCCTGCTCCTCGTGCAGGGCGACGGTGCAAAATTAGTCTGATGTTTACAATTTCCACTTGATTCACTGTTTCAATTCAATCAGCCGAGCTGCGCTGTCAGAATAAAATGAAGCCTACAACAACAAAGATGGCTGCACTATAACACTGCTGAACCTTTCAACTTGGGGTTCAATGATTAATCAGACAGTCAATCAACCTAAAAGCAACAATTTTGACAATCGTTTGAATCATATTCAAGCAAATATACCAAACATTTGCCTTTTAAAGGCTCTCAAATGGTAGAATGTTCTGCTTTAAGCCCAGCTCAGACCAAAGATTCACGACAAGACGAGTTGAAAGAGGCGACTACCTGCAATGCACTTTTCTGCAACGTTCTAAAAAGCTGCTAGCTCACACCAATACAACTAGATGTCTATCATCTCTAGTCAACAACTTAAGGCCCTGACACACCAAGCCGATGGTCGGCTGTCGACCAAAGTTGGGCTGTCGGTGAGCGTCTATCGCCCTAGTTTTTGCAGTGTGTCCTGCACCATCGGCACTTCGGCGTCTGCGGCTTTTCGGCCGATTGAGCATGTTGAATCAGCGGAGGAGCTTGTCGGTGAAAGAGATCACTCTGATTGGCTGTTCAGGTTTTATTTCCTCGCCCCTGTAGCGAATGAATCTGCCTGTAGTGAAACCGGGGCTAACCGGTGATTCCTCCTCAGGCTCCACTTCACTCAGCTGCCCCACAGACCCGCTGCTTCTTCCCACTTTAACCTGAATAACAAACTGGAGCTAGCTGGGAGCGTAGTCCGTGGAGGTGCTGCGGTGCTCGGCTGCACAGATAGGAAACCCCTCGGCTGACAGGATGTACCACTCTCTCACTCCGCTCTCTCTCACGCAGGCGCAGAACGTACGTGCTACTTGGCCGTCGGATGTAGTCCGTGTAGTGTGTTCAAATGCAACTGACACAGGGCGACGTGAGGCAATGTAGACAACGCAACAGTTGGCTTTCGTCACTGCTAGTTCTTTGATGTCGGTTTGGTGTGTCCGCACCTTTAATCGATATATTGATCCAGATTGATGGATCGTTACACCCCTAGGAAAAACTGCAACACAGAAGACGAAATCGCAACATGGAGATGGCGGCCATTTGTATCGCATGTTTGGTTTTAGTTTGAGGGCCGTTACACCCCCAGTATTCACAGCTGGACAAAAGCGTCCAAGTGTTTTCATACAACAGAACGACACATAAGTGAAACTTGAACATACCTTCCCGCAGGCTCGACAGTGGTGCCGTCTCTTGGTGAAGGTGAACCTCTGGTAGCAGTTCATACAGTTGGGAGCTTCAGAGTCGGGCACCCAGGCAGGCTGTCTGCTCCCCAGCTCCTCTACTCCTTCTCTCTTCCAGTTCACCGACCTGGCTCCATCTGTGGGTGACTCCCCGGGGTAAGGTGGGGGCTCTGAGAGTTCATCAAACCCCACACTGTAGTCCTGATGCTCCTGAGTGGCGTACATAGGGCTCAAATCCCTATTGTTGGAATGTTCCTCTGTAAGACTTGAGGGTGAACTCTCTTCATCCTCAGCAGTGCTGAGCGTCTGCGCCTGCTCCTCTCCTTCCTCTCCTGCTGGTGGAGATCGTGCAGTTTGGCAGTGTAGCTGTTTAGGTCTTGCACCTCCATAGGAGGGCTGCTGATCAGGGCTACTGCTGTGCTGGGACTGGAAAGTGTTGCTGGTTACAGAATGGTTTACCTCAGAGGAGGGTTCTGGCTCTTCTTGGCAAGGAGGTCTGCAGGAGTCTTGTGATGGAGCACCAGGGTTTGAACTTCCCTCTACAGTCACACACATTGTTCTGTCACTCTCTGGAAAAGCCAGACCCTCCAGATCCTCCCGTCTACCTCGACCACAGCTCCTCAGCTCCTCTTCCACCAGCCTGCCCTCCAGATCTCCGTTTGACTCTGAGAGACTCTCAGGTTGAGTGAAATCTCCCGAGCCGCCACCGCAGTAAGAGACACCACCCTGCTCTGCTTCTGCGTGTGCCTGCAGGAATGCATCCAGCTCCTCGTCTGTAACCAGGAGCTCGGCCTGGTCGCTCTCAGGAAGGTATTCGAAACCAAACTCTGGAGGATCAACGGGGCTGGGTTCTGAGTGTTCGCAGGAGGCGAGTTCTGCAGGAGGGGCAACAGCAGCAGGTTCGAGGGCGAGATGCTGCCCCTCTGGTGACACCCTGCCCTCTGCAGCCTGCTCGGACACTGATGAGTCAACGGGTTCCTCTAAATGCAATCTGTCCTCCCTTGCTTCCAGGGCTGACAGGGAGTCTGCCTCAGTGCTTTCAGAGACGTCTGCAGCCTCATCGCACTGCTCTGAAGCTTGTCCCGACTCGTCCTCTGCTGTCTTTGTGTTCACCAGAGCGCCACACATGGACACAGCTATAGGCAGGCAGGATAGGCCCATCGCTTCGCTGTCTGAAGCTTCTGACTTTGGACCATCAAGAGACTCAGCTTCGCCTTTATCCGAAATTTCTTGTGACTCCTCTTCTTTACTCACTGAGGTTGTTGTTGTCTCTTTAATGCTATCAACAGGCAGAGTGGGCTCCGGTTCACAGTGGTCTAAAGAGTTAACCACTACCTGGTTTGTGCAAGCCTCCTCCTCACAGTCCCTCTCGTCTTTGTCAGCTGACTCAGAGATCCTTGGTGCCAGTGAATCATCTGTGGACTCACAGCTCCTCTCCACTGCAGCAGGAAGAATAACATCCAGCAGACTGAGCGAGGCAGAGTATCCACCGCTCTGCTCCTGGGAATCCGAACCCAGAAGCCCGTCTTTCCCTGCAGACGCCTGCTCTTCTGTTACGTCCACACTTTGGCTCGGCCGTCCTTGCTGCTCTCCTCGCACAGTGACCACAGGGCTGTCAAAGTCCACGAGCAGCGTCTCCTCCTCCTCCATTTGCTTCTCCACCATGTCCAGCTCACTGAAAGCATCGTGGCTGTTGGCCCTGACCAGGATGGCTGAGCTGGTGTCGTTCACGAGGTCACACACCGGCTTCAGAGCTCTGTCGGGGCAGGGAGGGGCTGAGCTTTTAGGTGGCCTGCGATCCACAGAGGAGAGAAGGTCCACGCCAGTAAGAGGCTGACCTTTGACCTCCCTGTCATCAGCGCTGCGGTTCTGACTGCTGGAGCGGTCAGGACAGTTGGTGGCAGAACCATAATGAAGAGAGTTAAGGTCGGGGAGGTTTGGTGGGACGGTGGACGCCTCGGAGGATAAACCCAGTGAGGAGAAGGGGTACACAGCGGGCTTCAGGAAAACAGATTTACAGTCGAGTTCCTCTGTAATAAAAATAAAGAACAAAACATGTTAAACTCAGATACACTTAAAAAAACATAATTCAAATATCAAAGTATATTACTGATATGAAATAGTACGGTTAAAACATTTCTTTAACCATTATTTAAATGCATAAATTTCAACTTTAAATTGTACTTCTTTTCCCACATTCAATTTTCGTTTTCTTTTTTTGCAAATAATCAAATATTCTTTAATAATTTAATGTGAATACTAGAATACGGAAGTTTCTTTACATGCCTGCTTTAACGCACACACTGTGCTCACTCTTTACACATGTGTCGAAGGTCTTTAATATGGTTGATCGCGTCATTCTTTTAGATAAGCTGCTCTCTGTGGGTTTTTGATTTATCTACTTACAACTGGTTCAAATCGTACCTGTCCGACAGAGTTCAAAATGTGGTTGCCGACGGTTACAAATCCAGTCCTCATATAGTCACTATAGGCGTTCCCCAAGGCTCAATTTTAGGTTCACTGCTTTTCACTCTGTACATAAACCATATCTATTCTCCAACCCCACACTGTACTGCTCACTTTTATGCTGATGATACCATCCTGCTATAGATTCCACTGCAACCCAAGCATCCTCCCCTAACATCTGACAGACATCTCTGTCAAACTTAAAACAGGTTATTAGCTAGTTTCACAAAACCATGATCAGCAGACACCCCTTATTCCATCTGCACCTTAAATGGTGACGGCATTGAAACAGTTCAGCACTATTAATATCTCAACATCTGGTTAGACAGCAAGTTATCATACAAAACTCATTAGAGCATCTTACTCAAAAAATACAAATACAAATTGTCTTTCTATACCACATTAGGGCCTTCTTTTCCTTTGAAAACGGAAAAACTATTATACAATCCACTATACTGTCCACAATAGAATAAAGGGATATCCTGTTCACTCATGCAGCTGCCACAACCCTAATACCCCTTGACGCTGTCTATCATAGTGTCCTGCACTTCATTACAGCCGATAGTTATCGTACTCACCACTGTGACCTGTATAAAAAGCTTGGCTGGACATCACTGGGTGCTAGAAGACATCTACAAGCCTGCATCATCTATAAGGCCTTGCTATTCAAACTACCAGGATACCTGTGTGCCAAAATCATTGACATGGAACCATATCACAGGAGAGACTGGTTTTAAAAGTCCTTCACACCAACACTGAGCTGGGCGAGACTGGTTTCTAGTACTATGAGCCTCATTACTGGTCTGTATTAATGGAAATTTTTAATATATTCTATCTTTAGACTACAAGTCAGACAAAGCCAGAGATTTGGAAATGTCACCATGGACTCTGAGAAATTATGACGAACATTCTTTGTCTCTTTTTTGACATTTAACAGATCAAACCATTAACTGATTCATGGGAAAAACAAGATTAAAGATTAAAATAAAATGACAACAATCATAAACTGTATCTTACCAGTATTGAGCTCAAAGTCATCAAGCAGTTTGTCCAGATCACAAACAGCTGCCTTGAAGAAGCTGTCCATGCTGGGCTAAAACAAAGGGCCCTTAACCCCCTCCGATTCCTAAAGGACAAGAAAAACATGCTTTAATACCAGAAAAAGACTACATTTTTTCATAGTTTTTTTTTTCAGTCTTTGTCTTTGGGAAGTAGTACAGTAATAAAATGTCTCCTTATGAACAAGAATCTAGGTCAGTTATTTTCACGTTATCCCCGTGTGACATTCTTGTTTACATGTATCAATGCATACTGTTTGTGTTTATAGCAGCTGTAATATAGATTTAATACGACATTAAATCTGTATTATTGTGTAAGATAAGATAAACCTTTATTGATCCCCAGAGGGGCAATTTGGCTCATGCATCAGAACAAGGACAGCAATACAGAAAAATAGAGAAAGTAAAAGACATAACATGTGTTTAGAATCAAAACAGGCATAAAATAAATAATGGAAGCTATACACAAACTTACACTGACTGCTTATGCTGTATCTAGTGTCAAATAAATATAGAGGCTTTATTGCTATATCCCCCTGCGTTTGTCAAGACAATGACTCGACTCTGTAGCTCCTGTCAGTATTAAATCTCTGCAAGATACATTTGAATATGCACAAAGTTTACACTCTTTAGAGCCAGTGTACCTTAGATCTAATCTGTAATTCTAAATCAGACATTTAATTCAAAATAAGACAACATTACAGACATGGAAAACACACCATATGTGGTTATGAGTGCAGCATACAGCCTGTATCAAAAGCACCACAACCATTATCCTCACACAGACCAGTTATGTTGCATCATGTGATCAACAACGTGATTATTACTGCAATCAGAATTTGATTTATCGCCACCTTGTTTTTCACACACAAGGTGTTTTGTTGCATAGACGAGAAAATAATAATAAACACAGAATAGAAAAACAAGTTCACACCACGCTAACTAAGCTCATCACGATCAGGCAAAGCTCTTTGTATTTGGAAGGAGACCAGAGTTGTGGTGTTTGTGGTGACCTTCCTACACTGGGGCGTTGGAGGTGATGCGTAAGAGTACGTACGAGGGCAGGAAGCAGGGAGAGACCACGGGACCATGAAGACCATGGAGTAATAGCTCAGAGTACAGTGACAGCAAGTTTTTGGAGTGAATGCTCCGAATAAAAAAAGAACTCTGTGATCAGAGGGAGGATTTAAGTTGATAAAAAAAGACCTGAAGAGAGAACACTCCTGGGGGTGGGGGAGATGCATCGAGTTCACCTGCAGGCAGTGTCCAAAATTAACTTTCTCAGTCACCAGGCAAGAGGACTGGGAAATGATAAAATCCACCAGCCAAGCAGATTTTTTACTCATAATAATAAACTGCCTTTTGTGTCACATGTTTATTTGTTTCTTGGGCTGGGTGATATGGCCCTAAAACAATATCAAGATATTTGAAAGTATTTTTTGCGATAACAATATTCTTGAGGATATGACAAGTCGGTGAAAAAAATATTGACATGTTCCTCTGCCTGTTGCTGCTCCCTCTCTCCGTGTTCAAATAAATAGAGGAGAGAGAGGGAGCAGCAACAGGCAGAGGAACATGTCTGAATCCAGCTAAAGGTAAACACAGACGTTCATTTCTCCTTTCCGTTATGTTGTCAGATAATTATGCTAACAATCCGAGCCTATCTGTCTGAAAAAAATGCACTTTTAGTGGATGTATTTTGACGTTGTTTGACGCTGTCTGAGTGTGCTAAGAGAAGTAAAACATTCAGGACGCCACAGTTTATTCCACACTACTGAAGCTGCTCCTCTTTTTGGAACCACCAAGGAGTCGGGAATCATTTCTCTGTCAGCCATGATGGTGTTGCCCTGGGTAACTGTATGACATCACTCACTATGTCAACAAGTCAAAATATCGCCAGTGTCACGATATGAATTTTCATATCATATTAAAAAGGATACTGGTAGTATCATGAACAAGATGACATGGCACACCCCTAAAGGTTTTGCACTCCATCTTTAAGAATAAAAAAACACCAACTAACAAACTGACTTGTTCCTGGGTGACAAATGGTTTATACTTAAGTGTATTACTTTTCAACTAGCTCATTTCATTAGTATAATTTACAATACGATTCGATGGACTCCCAATAACAAAAGTTGAGGCTTGAGCAACACCTGAGGGTGATGTCATGACATTCCCTCTCCGTGTTGCACAGGATCACACGGTCTACTTTTAGATCAGCCTCAGCACCACTGAGGATTTAACTCCTGCCAGAGGCAAAATATTAATTGCTGTGTTTCTATCACCTGATGAAATGAAAACAATAGTCTCAAATGTCCTAATCTCAACTTCTGTGCAACAACACAAGGAATATTTACAGAATACCTGCACGAGTGCTTCACAGTGAGAGAAATGTGTAGTGATAGTCTGCTTTTGGTCAGCTTGAATCACACAATCAATAGTCTACACAGGGGTCCCCTGTTCATCTGTGATGCCCCACAGTAAGACACACAGGTAAAGGGGAACGGCCAAATTCTCTTATCTGCTAGTTCAGCTCTTCAGTTCATGAATCAAATAAAATTTAACGCCTTTAAAGAATCTTAATACTAATCTGACACATTTCTCTTTTTAAACTTCATTGAAATAGAACATCAGAAAAGGGTTGAATATGACTGGGAATGAAAATGGGTCAAATATTAGGAAAGCAAATCTCCAGCATGGATAAAAATAACATCAAATAGTTTCTAAAAATCAGCTGCTTGATAAAAAGAGTCACCTTCTTCTCCCAAAATAACAAGCAGTCGCCTTTAAAAGAACCTTTAAATCCATGTTTGATGTCGTAGATGTGAAGAAGAAATTATATGTGATAGTTTATTTGACTTCTAGATGAAGCTGCTACTAAAAATGAAGCCATAAATGGCATTAACTTTGAAGTGTCCGCCATTTTGATGAGAAGACTCTCTTTTCCTGCAATTATTTTAATTAAAACTCCAACAAATGCTTCTGATGATTTCGTCCAGACAACTCCGGATTAATGTCTGAGCACAGAAATACTGTAGACTTCAACACAGAACTAAACTGTCGTCCCCACACAGTGTTAATAAAGACGCAGCTGGCTGTAGTGACTTCTCAACACAAAGGACACAACAGACTGCTTAAAGTGAGACACTTCTTACGTGTTAGTTAAGTGAAGCAAACAACTTTTTCCTACCTCCTCCTTCAGTAACGCTCTTTGTACTGCTGTGTCACACTGGGAACCATGTAAATGCTAAATATAGATGGGAACGAGGAAGTCAGTCTTACAAAGTACACATCTTAGGGTTAATCATCACAGTGAAATGTGCACTTCCATGAATCTGGATTTACCAGTTATCAGCAGTCATTAGCTGCGTATCTGACCAACTATGAAGTCATGACTGATTAGAAGTACTTCTTCAACTTTCAGAAAACATGTTGCACTGCTCTCACCTGGGGTCAGGTGACAGGTAGGAGCGACGGGAAGCTGTGAGGCTTAAATATAACACAAGTTATGGACAGTAGTAGAAGAAATACTCCTATCTTTTACTTCAGTAAAAATAGCAATACCACTCTGCAAAAATACTCTGTTACAAGTAAGTCAAGTCCAAAAGTATCATCAGCATATTGTGCTATGAGGTGGCGTAGCCCCTTTGAGAGTCAGTACATTTCCATGCACAGTTACGTGCTGCTACAGTTACAGCTTGACTACTGTCCTTGTCCCAGTATACAAGCACGGGAGGGGAATCCATTTATTGAGCCAAGTATGTGCGACTCCTCTACGATAGGTGGAGATATGCCCCCTTTCAGCTTGTAAGTATTGGTCCTTTTTCCTGTTGACCTATTACGTCACAGACCAAACAATGGACAAACAAGTAAGCTACGGTTAGCTAGCTGCTAACTGCTATAATGGTGGACAACTTTACAGCTCTGTACATTTGGTCTGTCCAAAAAGTCACGGCTCTGGATGTAGATTTCTCCATGTTGTTACCGGCTTCTTCTTCTCTTACACATTTAATGCTATTGGACTTCCAGGTCAAAGCCCGGGGCGGAAACTATGGAGCATGCTCAGAGCACCTCGGCCACTTTGGGTCTGATTGACTGTATACATGCAGGAGGAGTTCGACTCCCAATCGGTACAATTTCCGTCGGACATGTTAACAGATATTTTAAAAGTCCAGTTTTAGTCAGACTAACACAATAAATCAATTTTATCAAATGTCTTGTAAATGTACTGATCATTTTTTTCAATGGAGCCTGGCTTTGAAGAGAGCAATATTACGACTTCTTTTACCGTTGGAAATCACGATCTGACGTTAACGTAAAACAGTCAAAATATTCTAAATACAGCATAAATTTAATCTGATATACACTTTTTTTAGGTGGGACTCTTTTTCCATTCATCCATCCATTTTCATCTGCTTATCCTGATCCAGGTTGTGGAGGCAGCAAGTCAAGCAAAGCACCCCAGACGTCCCTCTCCCCAGTGACACTTCCCAGCTCCTCCTGGGGGACCCCGAGGTGTTCCCAGGCCAGATGAGATATATAATCCCTCCAGTGTGTTCTGGGTCTGCCCCGGGGCCTCCTACCAGTGGGACGTGCCCAGAACACCTCTAACAGGAGGCGCCCAGGAGGATCCTGATCAGATGTTGAACCACCTCAACTGACCCCTTTCGACGCGAAGGAGCAGCGGCTCTACTCCGAGCTCGGTGGCTAAAATATGTTTTGTTGGTGTCCTCTTCACAGCAGCAGATTGGTTTAATAAAGTATTCTGAATCTGAATCTGAATCTGAACTGGGGGCGTGTCGGCTGACAGGCTGCATGCAATATACTGTCTAAGAGGCCGTATGCATCCTTGTGCCTTTTCTGTGCCAGCTTTCAAGAGCGCGGTATCAGGTTACGTCGTTCTCGAGTTCAAGTACACCTGCCATGTGTCTACATTAAAAACAATGAATTTGAGGGCACAGGAAATGCAGCATGTGTACGGCCCCTAAGAAACCCCACTTAAAAAAATCTGAACTATCCCTTTAAGTAATAACTAAAGGCACTTTTTTTTGCACATTTCCATTTTAAGCTACTTTAAACATCCACTACATCTCAGAGGCAAAAAATATTGTTTTAACTGTACTTAATTTGTCTGACAGCTTTTAGTTACTTTCCATTATCTTTAATACCCTTCCTGTCCTAAGTGCATTTTGCAGATATCACAGTCTCACAAACTTTTACTTAAGTGACGATTTGTAATGCAGAACTTGTGAGGTATTAGTACTTAAATACTTCCTTCACCACTAGTAATCTGGTGGAGATACTCTCCAGCTCAAATCCTGGATCAGGTCACAAACACCGTTATAACACCGACAGCAACCGGTGTCAAGCTACACCTATATTATATCTATATTATTAATACAATTAAAGCCATTTCTCTTGTCATTTAAAGAGCGTTTGTCTTGACGCTAACTCCACAACTTTACATGAACACACATGCCTCAACAAAGGCAGCTAGTTTGTAATATTTTCAACACCAACCACCTTTAGCTACAGGATTAGCAAACATGCTAGCTAACCCAAACATTGAGCTAAATATACAAATGACACCGCTGACGTTAGCAGGTATCATTAGCCACTAACATGTCACAACAACAAACAGACTTAACACTTAGCTTGAGGGTTAATTACAGGGCTGTCTGTGGCTGACTGTCTGTGACTCTTTAACACCAGCCATTAATAAACAGCCTGTTGTTTGTCACCTGGAATTACCGTGATTTAAACAGGTGTAGCTAAAGTTAGCCTGTTAGTTGTTATTGGAACGCGTTAGCTGGCTAATGTGGCTAACTAGCTTGCTGTGGGTTAACCTGGTTTTCTTTTTGAATTCCTTACCAGCTCTGTTTTATTCCATAACTCCGACGTCGTCCTCAGCGACTGTGCTCATGTCCCGCTTTAAAACAGGAGCAAATGTCTCCCGGGTCGTCGTCTCATTGTCTGAGAAGGCAGGTAAAGTTGAGAGGGAAGCTAGCTGTTGGATTAGTTTTATTGGAGATGTGTAAATTCTCCACTCAGGCGGCCATCTTGAAACAGACTGTCGAGAGGTCACAGCAGGATCCGCTCAGCCTGTCTGCCATAGTCCTGCTGTTATTCAGGATTATACCTCAGGTAAATGGGGGTAATTTACTACTTTATAATTACTTTATTACACTTATTGTATTATGTTAAATAATACACAGGGATACTATACTGTTTGTTAAACTATTCTATTCCATCCTATGTTACATTGCTGTATTATATTACATTAGGGACTGTTCCTTACTTATCAGGAAGGGGATGGTGAAAATGGGGGAGGCACTTAAATTGATTTTTAAGCACTGTGGAGGGAGTTATATTTTTGATTTGGCTTAGAGAAAGGACATTTAACATTAAATGGTTGTGTTTTATTTTAAATGCCCTCAGATATCCATCTGCATATCTGGGCCTGGGTTGTGGGGGCAACGGGCTGAGTAAAGTACTACAGATGTTCATCCTGGGGGATCCCGAGGCATTAACTGAAGACTTAAAAATAAAAAGCATGCACATCCAAAAGCGAAAAATACTGTGTGCTGGACAGAAAAACAAATATAAAAATAAAAGCAGGTCAGCACACCAGAAACTGTTCCTTTTGGAAGTTTTAGGCTATGTTTACATGAAAATGATCCACTGAAAACAGAATCATTTCTCATTTTCGTTTTGAAAAAAAGTTCCGCGTTTAGACAACAACATTAATAATGCAAAAATGACCAGAAACGCTGCAGTATACATGCCAGGCCAGTAGTTGGCAGTGTGACACTCATGCTTCCTTCTACAGAGCCGATGTATAAACAAACAAAATGGCAACCGCACCAACGTTTGTCTGGATGGACGACGAAGTGGAGTTGCTACAGTAAATCTACACTATGATGGGGAAGCGTTGATAAATTAAACAGGGTGAGCAGCACAAGCAGAGCTCGGGAGTCCACCATTGTTGTTGTGATGGTAGACTTTCTCGCGCATGCCTAGTGACTGGAAGTGTAATGCTCATGTGAGAAAGTCTCCGTTTTCAGAGGAACTGCATATTGCAAGTTTACAAGACAATGGAGACGGTGCCGTTTCCAAAAAATTGCACTCTGGAACACGTTTTCAAAACATTGCGTTTCCAGGCACCAAAAAAGCCGCTGTCGTGTAAACGATCGGCCAAAACGCAACTTTACCGTTTTCGGTTGAAATCATTGTCGCATAAACGGGACCTTAATCGTATCACCACGTGAAGTTTCGGGCACATGAAGGGCTGCTTGGTTCCTAAAATGTCACGTGTGATGATATTTATTTTTTGATCCTGAGGCGTTTATAAACATTGCGTATGCACAAAATGAGGCCTGAAAGAGGTGTACGCCACTTCCCACACAAAAGTGGTGATCTACAAAAACAGCCTTGATGGGAGAAACTTTGATCCATGCTTACGAACATTTTGGAGTCAGGAAGTTGACGAATTGTTGAATATTTCTTGGTGCATGCCTTTTTGGCTTTTGTCTGTGCATACATTTTTAGTATGGATCCTAGGCATTATTTTATTAATGAGACCCCAGATGAGATATGTAATCCCTCCAGTGTGTTCTGGGTCTGCCCCGGGGCCTCCTACCAGTGGGACGTGCCCAGAACACCTCTAACAGGAGGCGCCCAGGAGGATCCTGATCAGATGTTGAACCACCTCAACATGAAGGAGCAGCGGCTCTACTCCGAGCTCCCTCCAGATGTCTGACTCCTCCCCCTATCTCTAAGGCTGAGCCCAGACACCCTACAGAGGAAACTCATTGCAGCTGCTTGTATCCACGATCTCATTCTTTCAGTCACTACCCAGAACTCATGACCATAGGTGAGGGTTGGGACGTAGATGGACTGAATAACTGTCTAATATATATCTTTATTGTTTCTGTATTACTATTTTTACTTATGTAAATAGTCTGAGTACTTCTTCCACCAGTGGTGTAAGGTAGTTATGATGGGCCCCAGTGACGCAATCATGTGCGTACCATCTCGTCACGTGATCAGAGCCTGGACACTGGATCACATGAACATACATATTACCCAGCAATCATCATTGCATATCTGTATATAACAAAAAAATACCAAAGAAATTAAGAAATCATTAATTTAACAATTTTGATAGTTGATTTAAAGTCATAGAATAAATATATAATTGTATTGACAGTTTTACAAAAGAAGAAAAAATAAACATGACAGAGATGGGTTTGCCTTTTTCAAGGGCACTGTTTTTAATTTAATTAGAGTTCCACTTTGAACACAGGCAGTTTTTAAGTTGGCAATCACTCATAAGGGCCCATTCTCCACCCAACACATTGTTGGAGGAGCCACTCTCTCTATTCTGTTAAGATATGTTTCAGCTCATATTGCATCTTAAAATTTTAAAATAAAATAGAAAAAAATAGGTAAAATAATGATAATAAAAATAATCTAAACACAAATAGTGAGAGTTTACATAGGGATAAAATACAACAATTAAAAATAAATGAAATAAAGTAATATAGACTTTAATTGCAAAGGATATTTTTTACTTAAATGAATAATCTGAGTACTTTTTCCACCATTAGCCACATTGGTTTGATTTTATTCTGAGCAAATAAATAAACTCTTTCCCCCTCCTGCAGGTGTTGTTAACACCTCAGGACTTCAGGTGAGAGTCACAACCAAAATCAAAAGAGGAACATTACACAGGTCAAAACAAAATCTAAACATAAAATAGTGGAAATGTACATAGGGATAAAATATAACACTTAAAAATAAGACTAAATAAAGGATAAAGTAATATATATGTATACATTAGACAGTAATTGCAAATGTTTTTTTTTCTTTTTTGTTTTTGTATTTCTACTTTTACTCAAGTAAATAATCTGAGTACTTCTTCCACCATTAGTCACATTGGTTTGATTGTAATCTGAGCAAATAAACAAAATCTTTCCCCTCCTGTCTGTCCTGGCCGGCAGGTGGCGCTAACACCTCAGGACGTCAGGTGAGAGCCACTCACAACCAAAATCAAAAGAAGATTATTACACTTGTCAAAAATAAATAAATAGAATAAAAAAATCTAAACATAAAATAGAGGAAGTTTACTAAGGCAGGCATGTCCAAAGTCTGGCCCAGGGGCCAATTGTGGCCCGCAGATCAATTTTAATCGGCCCTCGGCTTGATTTTCCAAATATACCATATGTGGCCCTTTACACAATAATGGTTAATAGAGCAAGATCACTTGGCATTTTTACCCTTTGCCTCACAATGATAGGACTATCATACAGTTTGTAGACAGGCATCACGTAGCAACAGTTCATTAAAAGATAAAAATGGTTGCATTTATTTTTTCCTTTTTAAACCCATTTGATGCGAGAATCAGTTGGCCCCTAGGCATTCTCACGTTGTTTTATCTGGCCCCCATTCAAAAAAGTTTGGCCACCCCCTGTACTAAGGGATAAAACAGAAAAAAATAAATAAAGTCATATAGACAGAGAGCCACTCACAACTGAAACCCAAAGAAGACCATTACACATGTAATGAAAACATAGGCTATATAAATATGAAATGGTGGAAGTTTACTTTCTTTTCAGGAAAAAATAGAACAAAAAGTTATATATAGTACACAGTAATTGCAAAGCATTTTTTTCTTTTTTTTTGTTTTTGTATTTCTACTTTTACTTAAATAAATGATCTGAGCACTTCTTCCACCATTTGTCACATTGGTTTGATTTTATTCTGAGCAAATAAACAAGTGTGCCCCAGGGCTCTGACCAAGGGGGAGTAAGTAGATGATGAATAGCAGGGGCCCCAGGACAGAGCCCTGGGGCACACTTGTTTATTTGCTCAGAATAAAATCAAACCAATGTGACAAATGGTTTTCCGTAAAAAACACATTAATTTCCATTGCTACGTGGATGACACCCAGCTCTACATCTCCTCCACACCTGATTCCACCTTCCCTCCTTCATTTCTTACTGACTGCCTTCATGAAATAAAGTCCTGGTTCACATGCAATTTCCTCAACTTAAACAGTGATAAAACAAAATGTTACTAATCGGCATTAAATCCACTCTAGCCAAAGCCCACAGTTTCACAGTATCGATGGACAATTCTTCCATCCTCCCCTCCCCTCAGATCCTCATCTTCTATTCACCACACTGTCCCCTCTGTTCGCCTCACTACCATGGGGGGCAGAGCATTCAGCCGCTCTGCTCCCCCTAACCTCCGAAATATTGATTCACTACCACACTTTAAATCCAGGCTGAAAACTCACCTGTTCAGGCTTTCCTACTCTCTTTGAGTGGGTAAGCCTGAACAGATGTTTTGTTAATGTTTGTTTTGTTTGCTTTTTAAACTGATATTTGTTTGTTTGTTGTAAAATGTTGAATTATCTTGTACTTTGTATTTTATTGTATTTTACTCTGTATTTTTCTCTGTAAGGCGACTTTGAGTGTTATGAAAGGTGCCCAGAAATAAAATGTACTATTATTATTATTAAACACTTTCCCCTGCTGTCTGTCCAGGCAGGCAGGTGGCACTAACACCCAGGACTTCAGGTGAGAGCCACTCACAACTGAAACCCAAAAAAAGACCATTACACATGTAACGAAAACATAGGCTATATAAATATAAATTGGTGGAAGTTTACTTTCTTTTCGGGAAAAAAAGAACAAAAAGATCATTATAAGTCATTATAGATCTATAGTACACAATAATTGCAAAGCATTTTTTTCCTTTTTTTGTTTTTGTATTTCCATTTTACTTATATCAATCAATCAATTTTATTTATAAAGCCCAATATCACAAATCACAATTTGCCTCACAGGGCTTTACAGCATACGACATCCTTATGTCCTTATGACCCTCACAGCTGATCAGGAAAAACTCCCCCAAAAAAACTTTAATGGGGAAAAAAACGGTAGAAACCTCAAGAAGAGCAACTGAGGAGGGATCCCTCTTCCAGGACGGACAGACGTGCAATAGATGTCGTACAGAACAGATCAGCATGATAAATTAACAGTAATCCGCATGACACAATGAGACAGAGAGAGAGAGAGATGCAGGTAATGACAGTAGCTTACAACAACATTATTGAAAGTAATAATATTATAGTTATAGTTCTGACTACTGTGGTACAATATGTTGAAAGTATGTATTAATATCTGGCAGTATACATGTGTGACAATAGTCATATGTGTATAATAACAGTAGAAGTATGACTAATGACTAATGATGGCAGCAGCAGCAGGAGGCATCTGGCAGGACCAGATATAAATTATCTGAGTACTTCTTCCACCATTTGTCACATTGGTTTGATTTTATTCTGAGCAAATAAATAAAATAAAATAAACTCTTTCCCCTCCTGTCCGTCCAGGCCGGCAGGTGGCGCTAACACCCAGGACTTCAGGTGAGAGCCACTCACAACCAAAATCATTAGGCATGTAAAAAAATAAAAAAATAAATAAAATAAAATAAAATCTGAACATAAAAGAGTGGAAGTCCACACAGGAATGAAATGTAACAAATAAAATAAAATACTTTTAATAATTAAAAAAAAAGTCTTCCTCCTCCTGCCTGAGTCAGACCTTTGCCCTCCAGGCCGGCAGGTGGCGCCAACACCTCCGGACCTCAGGTGAGAGCCAGTGACAACTCAACCCAAAGAAGTGGAGCAGGAACGGAAAGAAACAGGAAGAAGGAGAAGAAGACACCATCGGTCCCACAATGTCTATGACCAAGAGACTATTCAAGGTAAAATAAATCTATAATTATTGAATTCACGCCGCTTCGCGAGGGCTCGATAACGTGTTTCTTCTTCGCGGGTGTAGCTACAGCCGCGTCGACCGGGGGAAATTGTCGAATAGCCGAGTCTTCATCGGTCGGACAAAATGAAAGGAGAATGACGTCCGACAGACGAGAGGTAACTAGTTAGTTAGTTAGTTTGAGACGCCGGCGGAGCGTGACTCAGCACTTAGAGGAGAAACTTGGCGGATGAAACGTGACGTGGAACAATGTGTTTGGTTTTTATCTGTTAAAAGATGGAGGCTCGGCAGGCAGCCTTCACGGAGAGAAGTGAGGCGGCTGCTTTTACGCGCTGTCACCGTCTCAACAGAAAACATGGAGACTTTGGGGTTGGGACGTGACGTCAGAGCCCGGCTGGGCGGTATGTCATGGAGAAAATAATAATGTTGTGAGGTGAGAGCAGACAGACAGACAGACAGACAGACAGTAATGTCCTCATACGTGTTTAATTAAACCTCTTTCAAAATCCAGTGGTGCGGTGTAACCAGATACATTCACTATAGGACTGTACTTAAATTCGAGATACTTATACTTTACTATCTAATGTAACCCAATACTTGTACTCTATTACATCTCAGAGGTAAATATTTTCCTTTTAACTCCTCTACAGTTGTCTGACAGCTTTAGTTCCTTCCTGTCCAGTGATGTCTCTACAGATATTTGTGATATGCTGCGACATGTAGAGAAACTTCTCCCACTGATTAAACTCTCTGAAAGCCACAGGTTTTGCAAGTAACATAATAATAATAATAACACATTTTATTTATAAGCACCTTTCAAGACACTCAAGAACACTTAACAACAGTGCACAATATAAGTTAATAATAAGCAGTAACTAGAGATGCACTGATATGCTGATATGTGTATCCAATTTCCGCACCTAATTTCAGTGATCACCTTGTGTAGTGGAATTAACATCGTATTACACATGCATACTCTTACCGTGACGGCCCACCAGCAGATAGACACATGAAATATAATGGTTTTTAATGTCTGTAACATTCATTCATTCATTGTGCAAATTTAAAAAAAAAAAAAAAAAAGCATGTTGGCTGATTGTGATGGTTCATTTTAAAGCCAGTATTGGCCGATATTATTGTGCATCCCCAGCTTAAAAGTCCTTTAATTTAATTGTATAAATATCAGGCCTTAAAAGTCATTAAATAGTCTTAGTTTTTTATTTATCCATCCAAGTTCTTCAGCCTGAAAGTCCAAATTCCTGGTGTTAAAAATCTTTAAACCTAATACTTTAACTTTATACTTTCACCTACCTTACTCTTATAACCATATTCACACATAAAACCATCCTCTGCAGCAGGGTTGCAACAGTATGAGGTTGTCACGGTACGATAACCGGCTCAGAAAATATTGCAGCTTCACGGTATCATGGTGTTACAACATTTATATCATTATCAATCACAATGACCCTTATTAAAGGAATGAAAACAGAAGGGTAATTGTTGGTTGAACAAACGTTTTATTACTATAACTGAAATTTAAAACGTTTGAAAACAACTAAAATAAAGTGATTCATCATCCAGTTACATTTATTTTTTTATATCGTAGATCAGCAAATGTACACTGTATGATGATAGTCAATTTAAATATCACACTAAACTTTAAAACCCTCCTACGTCTTAAGCTAAATAAACTCTCTAAAAACCAGAGTGTCTTAAATTTAATTTTGTAAATATTAGCCCTTAGAAGTCATTAGGTACTCTTAGTTTGAATCTGTGAGGTTGTAATTGCCACAAACATTTTAGCTTATTTTATTTCATTTGTCCATCCTAATCCTTTTTGTCCAGATGTCTGGTGTTTAAAGTCTTTAATTCTACCACAAAACCTATACTTTATTTTTCACTTAATACCTGCACTTAACTGTTGGCAAAATGCCTTATTCTAATAACCACATTCTTACATAAAACTTACCTCTGCAAAGGACTACATATATTACTTATCTTTATACTTATCTGCAGTGCTTGAATAAGGAAAGATTGTCTTGAAAAGGACTTAAAAAAAGCATTAAATGTAAGTGTCTGATACCTGCAGACACGCTGAAAAACCCTCCAGGATCAGGTGGAAAATGTCTCATCACAAAGCTGAAAACAGGCTGATTTTTTTGGACTTGTATTCAGAGATACAAACATCAGATGATCTTAAAGAATATGATGCATTGCTGTAGATTAAACTACCCAACAGCATGTAAAGGAGTTAAAATGAGCACATACACATGAATGAAGCAGGAATGTTAATCCAAAAACATCAGACAGAGTAGGACAGCACTGACAGGGAACATTTAATCTGATTTCACTTAGTATGGTTTCAGAGTATTAAAGTAGTCGAGTATTTTCCCTTCAGTAAAACATCTTAACTCTTCTTCCACCACTGATAAAACTCATTAACTCTCTGTACAGCTGCTCAGCCTGCAGCCTCTTACTTACACTTTCACTGTGACCCAGCAGCACTTTTGGTTTTGATTCTGGTTTGTGACTGATGCAACGCAGCCTCCGTGTCAGGAAATCCCCCGCGTGATAACCAGAGCGAAGTGTCTTGTTACTACTTCCCTGAATTCCCCTGTCAGTCCAGTTTTATAGGTCAGGTAAATACAGGAAGTAGAACACTGATTTACTGCCTGCTTCTGTTTTAACATTTTACTAGCGGTGGAGCGAGTATTCAGATCATTTACTCAAGAAATGTGTTTTATTGAATTTTAGTTATCTGGTGCATTGATATGTAATACTTTAATGTAACAGCTGGTGAAGGGGGGCTCATTCCCAAGAGATCAATAAAATCAAAACCTTTTACAATCAGTTGTAAGATAAGATAAGATACACCTTTATTGATCCCAAAATTGAGAAATTCCAGTGTTAGAGCAGTCACGGGGAAAGAGTCAAATTAAAGATTTCAGTATTTAAAAACTTAAAAAACTAGGCATGCAGAAAAAAGTACAAAAGATACAAGAAACAGCAATAAATAATAACACTAATAATAATGAGCAGTGGATAAAAAAGTGAGCAATATATGTTAGGTTCTATTATTTTATTTGTTTAATCAAAACTAATGTGTTAATATTTGTGTTATATTGTTCAAAATGACAAAAACTGGAGCAGGGATTACGATCTCATCACACTGACAGATTAAACTCATGTCATACTGCTGCTAGAGTGGAAATAATTCACTGTTTAATCCGTTAGTTGACAGACAAATAATTAATTGACAACCATTTTGATTAAATTGGGCAATTTATCAGGATTATATAGATACTGTGATATGAGACTGTCTTAAATTTTGAATATCAGAATATTGTAAGTGATGTCATTTCCAAACTTACCAGACTGTTCTCCACTAAGTCATTATATCTGCTAGGGCTGCAACGATTAGTCCATTAAAAGAAAATTAATCTCCAACTATTTTCATAATAGATTCATTTTTTTCGCTCAATTTCAGGTTACAATTTTAAATATTTGTTGCTGTTCTTTGTCTTTTATGAAAGCAAATGAAGAATCTTCAGGTTTTGGACTGCTGGTTGGACAAAATTAAGTTGAAGACGTCACCTAAGGCTCTGGAAAATTGCAAAGAGCTTTTTTTCACAATTTGTTTGACATTTTATAGACTAAACAATTAATCGTGAAAATAATCAGCAGAGTAATCGATGACAATAGTTGTAAGTTGCAGCCCTAATATCCACATTACAGATGATTATTAATCAAAAATCAAACTGTATAAATATTGCAATATAGCGATATCAAGGTATTAAGTAAAATATATTATGATATTTGATTTTTTTTTTTTTTTAATCAGTTAGTTCAGTTAATAAGTGTGATTGTTTTCTCTTTTTCTAATATGATGGTAAACCTGAAAATATTTGAAGATGTCATCATGGGCTCTGGGAAATTGTGATGGGACCACATTATTAAGAAATTAGCCTGTAGATAATATGATAATGATAATTAATATTAGTTGCTGCCCTATAATCAATCAATTCAATCAATCAGTTTTATTTATAAAGCCCAATATCATCTTTACAGCATACGACATCCTCCTGTCCTTATGACCCTCGCAGTGGGCAAACAGAGCAGTAATAAACAGAATAACACTGAAGCACACAGTATTCTGTCACAGAATTAATAAACAAGACAACACTGTGCTACGTTACCAAGCATTAACTGAGACAGGTAAAACTGGTTTTGCACTAACGAGAATGCATTTTGCACTGGAATTTTAAAGGAGTGCATGTCACTCATTGTGTAGAAAGTTGTATAGTTTTGTAGCGACCTGTCAGGGTGTTTCCATGGGCTCTTTATGCTACAATTGTAGGTTTTTTGTAGTGACCCATTGTTGTATTTCCATCGGCTCTTTATGCTCCAGTCTTGGGTGTTTTGTAGCGACCTGTCAGGGTGTGTCCATCACCTTTTAAAGGCCCTGACACACCAAGCCGACGGTCGGTTGTCGACCAAAGTCGGGCCGTTGGTGAGCGTCTGTCGGCCTAGTTTTTGCAGTGTGTCCCGCACTGTCAGCCCTTTGGCGTCTGCGTCTTTTCGGCTGATTGAGCATGTTGAATCAGCGGCGGAGCTTGTCGGTGAGAGAAATCACTGTGATTGGCTGTTCAGGTTTTATCTCCTCGCCCCTGTAGCGAGTGAATCTGCCTGTAGTGAAACAGGGGCTAACCGGTGCTTCCTCCTCAGGCTCCACTTCACTCAGCTGCCCCACAGACCCGCTGCTTCTTCACACTTTAACCTGAATAACAAACCGGAGCTAGCTGGGAGCGGCTAGCGGAGCGTTAGCCACAGCATGACGGTTGTTATTCAGGTTAAAGTGGGAAGAAGCAGCGGGTTTATCGGGCAGCTGAGTGAAGTGGAGCCTGAGGAGGAAACACCGGGACCGTCTGGATGTAATAGTCCGTGGAGGTGCTGCGGTGCTCGGCTGCACAAATAGGAAACCCCTCGGCTGACAGGATGTACCACTCTCTCACTCCGCTCTCTCTCACGCAGGCGCAGAACGTACGTGCTACTTGGCCGTCGGATGTAGTCCGTGTAGTGCATTCAGATGCAACTGACACAGGGCGACGTAGATGACACAATAGATGGCTTTCGTCGCCGCTAGTTCTTTGATGTTGGTTTGGTGTGTCCGCACCTTTAGGCTCCAGTCATGGGTATTTTGTAGCGACCTGTCAGGGTGTTTCCATTGGATTTTTATGCTCCAATAGTGGCTGTTGTGTAGCGACTTGTCGCTGTTTTTTATCAGCTTTTTGGACTCTAATCGTGGCTGTTGTGTAGCGACCTGTCATCGTGTTTCCAGGTGATTTTTAGGCTTCAGTCAGTGTTACACAGTGACCCACTGACCCATTGCAAACCGATGTCAACAACATCCACTGTCGCACAATTCACATAGCCTCGTGTCAGTTAAAGGCAATCGCAGAACTAAGAACTAAGTCTTGATAAATTCTTCTTCACATTTTTCTGTCACCTCATGACGTTTACCATCAAGGCTATATGTAATGTCTTTTTTTTTTTCACTATTTAACAGCAGCCAAGAACCATGACCTCAGTGCTAAAACATATCATTTAACAGCTCAATGAAAGTGTCAGAAATGCATTTATATACAGGGAGTGTAAATGTAGACTTAACAGCAGAACAGTGGAGTACCTAATAAAGTGGCCACTGAGTGTATACATGTATATCCCCCATGGGTCACTGGGGTTTTAGTCGTGTCAATATTTTATCTCATCTTAAATCAGTTGTTTTTTATTTTTCAGGAGCTTGAAGAAATCCGAAAAAATGCGGCGAAGTACTTTCGCAATATTCAAGTGGATGAATCGAATGTTTTGAGCTGGCAAGGGCTCCTCGTTCCTGTAAGTACTGAGCTGCTGCTAAAACACGTGTTGTCCCGTCATTAAAGTTTTTATTAACTTGTTCTTTGCGTCTCTCCGATCTGCAAACTCTTGTTTTCTCCAAGGATTGTGCTCCATATGACAAAGGAGCATTTCGGATTGAAATCATCTTCCCCGCGGAGTACCCCTTCAAGCCACCTAAGGTCACCTTCAAGACAAAAATCTACCACCCCAACGTTGACGAGAAGGGTCAGGTGTGCCTGCCGGTCATCAGCGTGGAGCACTGGAAGCCAGCGACAAAAACTGAAACTGGTGAGGCGCTTTGTTTGGAGGCCCAGGCGCTCATTCAGCCTTTCTTGAATTCTAATTCTGAAGATTTTCATCAGTCAAACCCCATTTTTTGAATTTTATTTCAGGCTTTGCAGGCTGGCATTTCAATGTCTTTGTATTTTTAGTTTCTAGTTTAGTAACTCTAAAAGTCCAGACACAGCAAACCAACACCAAATACTAGTGGTGACTAACACCGACTGCGCCTCGTGTCGCCTGTGTCTCAGCTTAAAAGTTGCATGAACACACCACAGAGACTACAGCCGACAGCCAACCAGCACAAATATTCTGCGTCTGCGTGAGAGGAAGTAACCGTTCACACCAGCAGACCGCAGTCGTTTGTATTGATCTATAAAAAGGGAAACCGGAGACCACAAGAGGGATTCAAGACGCTAATTAGCCCATTAGCAAATCAACAATGTGAAAGAAGAAAATATGTACCGGGCACTGGTGAATAATAACGCAAACAATCAGACAGTTTTCTTTCTTGCTGGTTTAGCATCCTGAATCGGCCATTAAAAAGCCAACATGGGCCGACTGTCAGCTTGATTGTCGGGGCCCTAAAAAAGCACGGCAGGTCTGTCAAGCTCCGGACGTCTCCACATATCGAAGTGTTGTACATGGAGCTGCGGTAAACCGAGTGTTAGGAGTGTCGTCTTTTTAAAACAAAAACTACAAGAGCAGAGAGTGTTTGGGAAGAATTAAACAATGGGTTTATCTGTCAAAACGCAAACGTTAGCTTGTCCAGTATGGAGCTAGCACAGTGACAGTAAAAATAATGGCATTGAAAAAAGAAAACACTGGTATTGAAATTATTTTATTTTGTTTGGATTTTTTTTTGCACGCTGTTTCTCAGTGGCAGAAAGAGAGAAAAGGTGATATGAAGGAAAAAATTGAAGAGTATTTTGTTTTTTAATGATTTTTAAACTTTTTAATGCCAAATTTCTTTTTCAATGCCAAAGCTCCCTGTCACTGTTCTAGCTCTGAACTCCAGCTCAAGGCTCAGACGTAGATGTCTTCGGAAAGCTGCGGTCACACAGACGCACACGCAGTTTTATTCATAGTACAACTGACAGTCAACATCAGTCACCAGCCGTGTTTCAGACGAGAGTGTAGAGCAAGAGATTGGAGCATGTGCAGCCGGTGCACTTGCTCTGCCTAGAGTTCACGCGGTCACAGAAAATGAGAATGTGGAAACTGTGAATTGGCCTTAACCGAGCATCACTTCCAAAGCAAAGGAGCTGTTCATACTAAGTTATTATCGAAGTAAAGAACTTAGAGAAATGATTCACTGCTGTAAAGATGCTCTCTTTTACAAAACTGGGCTGTCCGTGCTGTAGGAAGACACAAACACTTTTGAAATTGGAGCGACATGACAAAAGAAAACAGAGAAAGAGGACTGTGGCATTTGACTTTGCACAGGGGAGATGTATGTAGGTAATATGACTTCTCCCCTTTTTAACCTCCTTGACGAAAATGTGTTTGTACAATCTGGAGTTGGAGCAGCAGCCGTAGAGCCGGCGGAAATCGGAAGCAGATTTGAGCCTAAACATGAGCAGGGAGGTCTGGGCTGCAGTAAGATGGAGGGAAGTTTACCACAGTTCATTTACACATAGTACCCACGCTGTTACGATACAGAGCTGGTTGAAAATTGGCAAAGCGTGGCTTTAATGAGCCTAACTTTTTTTTTTTAATGGTGACACAATACAAGGAAAAGTTTCCTCGCTGCTGTTTGTGATACCTGAAGTTTTCTTCTTCAACTTCTACATGTATCATGAAAACTTAAATGCTTGAGTCGCACATATTCTTCTTCCTCCCTCTCTCCCGCAGTGATTAGCAACCTCGTTAGTCTGGTGAACACCCCTCAACCGGAGCACCCGCTGCGGGCCGACCTGGCCGAGGAGTACAGCAAAGACCGCGCCAAATTCATGAAGAACGCCGAGGAGTTTACAAAGAAACACAGTGAAAAGCGGCCCGTCGACTGACGGCGTTGACACCGGCCTCCTTTCTGTTTCCCGTTCCAAGTGCCCGCCCTGACTCTCTGTTCTTACCCCCCAAAACTACACAGAGACGCCCTGTTCTGCATATCTGCTTGTTTTTAGCACTCCCCAACCACTCCTTAATGATGATAGGGGCTTGTGTTTCTGTTTCACTTTGCCAAAATCAAAAAAGAAAAGCAGGACTTTTTGGTGAATAGGCAGGCTCCGGCCTCTAGGTGTCGCCTTTTGGTTCTTTTATGTTCTTTCTACTGATTTCTTTTTAGAAAAAACAAAACAGAAAATAGTCTGAGGTGGTGTCCTAGAAAGTTACAAAGTCAGAAACAATATAAAGTGCTGTTCTGCTTACTTAAATGTTGAATGTTTTTTTCAGATTAATCATTAGCTCCTGCCGACCTGTTTAGATATTTTTTTTAAAGCTTTTTTGTTTTCCAAGCGTTAACAAAATGCACAGATAATCTAAAGCTGTTGTTTATATCTGTCGTCTTTATTTCTCTTTTCTTTTCCCTTATGATACACTGTATTTTGTGAGATCACCTGGAAATTAAAGTTTGTTACTGAAATGCAGAATTCCACTTGTAAACTCGGAGATTTGTGAAAATGCAACTACATTGTACATGTTTTTGTATTTTGGGATGTTGTGAGGAAAAAGTCTCATAATTAAAAGCTCTTCCACCTCTGCTGGCCTCCCAGGAACGTGCATAGTGTCAGTGAGCATCGTTGTTTTTCAGAAACAGTCCCACGGTTTATTTTTTTATTTTAACACGTTCTGCCAAAGTGGCTTTAAACCCACAAGCTGCTCAGCTGCTCTCTGTTTGACTCTGTCACCCCCTCCTGCTTGTCTCTCTCATCACAACACTGACAACATTTTCACAATGAGAACAAGCTCTACAAAGCACTGATTGATTCAAGCATTAAAATATAGTTTCCAACCTGCAGTGTGGCTGTGATCAGCTTCTCTCCATCTTAAACACGCTGTAATTAGGATCTTAACATTCTCTGATAGCTGACGGAGCACACCAGCCGACTGAGGGTGATATCTGCAGGTGGAGGGCAGAGGGTCACTATTGAATAAAGATCTGCGATGGATGCTTAAATCTGTACTGTTGTGTTTATTAAAAGATTTTTCTTCACTTCCTGTTTGTGTTTGTAGCCACCTGGAATATTAAAGTGACACTGGGCCCCCTCATGCTAAAGTCAGATTAATAATTAAAGGTCCAGTGCATGATTCAGAGGGATATACTGACAGAAATGGAATATAAGTATATTTTCCTCAGTATATAATCACCTGAAAATAAGAATCGTTAGCAGGCCCTCGTCTACAGAGATCACCATGTTGCACCGCCATGTTTCTACTGTAGAGATTTTCCCGGTACGATAACTGTCACTGTAAATATAGTGGTTTCATGGTATAACAGATTTTATATTATCGGTCAGAATGAGCCTTAAAGGAATAAAAACTGAAGGGCTATTGTTGGTTGAACAAACTTTTCATTACTTTAACTGAAAGCATTTTGTCAGTGGAAGTTTGTGTAAAAAATAGGGTCTGGCAATATGGCCGTAGAATAATATCACAATATTCCAGGGTATTTTTGTGATTACAATATTCTTGACAAAATGTTAGTTTCATAGTTTGCCTTCGAATATTAAAGTTTTGTTAATTAAATAATTGTAAAAATTAATAAATATAAAGTTTAGAATAAAGGGGAGATACTCTGCCCAGTAACATTTTTTTCGTAGACTAGCAAATATCATAGTATACCCTAAAACCAGTATATCACTTCCACCCTATTCTACAGCGGCCCAGGACGGACAAACCAAACACTGGGTCTAGACTGGAGGTCGGAGAAATATTCTCTAAACATCTCTGACAGAGAGTAAATGAAATGCTACAGACGAGATTGTGCAGAAATAATGTTTGTGGTCAGTCTCTTTAGGGATATGGACACATCTCACACCTAAAGATATTTGAAAAACTGGAAAAACACATCAGTGCAGCAGTGACGACTTGAGTCTGTCTCAACCTTCCATCAGCAGAGTGATCACACCAACAATGACAACACTTTAAAAGTCAGCAGTTCATCTCATTTCCACTGGGTGTCCTCACACCTTACAGATTCACAAAAGGGCGTGTCTGTGACAACCAGTCACACCTGTTAAAAGAATGCATCATACCTAAGCAACAGGGTCAACCACACCTCCTCACTAAGAAAAAAGTTTCTGTCCCTTCCTCGCTCAGAGAACTGTCCTATATCACTCGTCTTGAACTCCACCCTCATTTTGTAGCGAAAACGCCTAAAATGACATACCCAAATTAAAATGACTATAGCTTCTGAACCGCTCTGACTACATGCATGCATGAGGTGTTGCCAGAAAGAAAACTCCCTGAAGTTTCTTGTGAAAGTGTCAGAAACACTCTAGGTGGTACAGAGACAGAGTAATGGGCCTCTGAAGTCAGTAAAAAGTTGAAGATTTTGCCTAAAATACAATAAAAAATGTGTTTCAGGATGAATAACTGTCTGTGGCTTCATCTGAGCAGGTAAATGACACTGTGGGGCTGTAGGCACACTATCAATGAACACTTGTTTCAAATTTGAAGAAGACTGCTCAAAGTATGACCATTCTACAGTGTTTTATCCATGAAAAGATCCAGGCGGAGCTCCAAATGACAAATCGGTCACTGGGCTTCAAAACAGTACTATCAGTGATCAAACAACACTCAGCCAGCTTCAAACATTGTACCTTATTGAAATCAGGTGTGATTATGATAGCTGATGTTGTTTATGACACAGAAACACCATAAAATATCACCAAATAAAGCCATGTGAAACGTGAAAGTTATGATCCCACTTTCTAGACGGTGTATCTCAGCCAAAAATAGTGGTAGGAGTGAGACTCTTACCTTTTATAAAAGAGCTAAGTCCCCGCTAACAGCTCCAAATAAGATCTCGAGTAATCCTTTAACTTTTCCCGTCGAAAAATGGCATGACATAACTTGTCACCACTCATCGTGATTTTGGACTTTGTGTGTTTAGGCTGCTCTGGTGCGAAATACATAATAAATAAAAGAAAAATGACGTCATTTTTGAAAAGTCGAGAGCTTCCTGAATCCGGCAATACCAAACATCACATGGTCTGATGATGTAGTGCGCCTGGGAGATACCATTTAACAGAGGAGGTTAAAAGTTTTCAGGCTAAGTTAGGAGCTCTTTGAGAGTGATCACAGAACATTTGTGAATACGGCCCCTGGTTCTTAAGTTATCAGGGAAAAAGGTGAGCACACATAGAAGGCTCTAGGCTAAATGTCTGACAAGCTGAACACTGAACACAGAAAACATTGATTTGTAACATGAATAGTCTTTATTCAGTGTTTTTACTGGTTCAAATCAGCTGGTCTGTTTTGGAGAGAAGAGACCTCTGTGGATAATTCAGCTCCTGGTAAAAACCTCCTGAACAATTCTAACCACGAGACGTTTCACCTGGTTGCAATCTGCAATCCTCACCACTAGACGCCACTAAATCTGACACACTGGACCTTTAATTTGCAGTGGATTGAGCTCTCAGGGCCACCGTAGTTGAGTCAAAGAAAAGGCAGCAGAGTCAAAGTGTTAAACACTGTCGGCTTTATTGAAGTCAGGGTTACAGTGACGACCTTAAACGTGAGGTAGAATTTTCCCCTAACTGCAGTTCATGTCTAAGATTAGGTTTCCCTAAAGATTTGCAATGGTTCAGAGGATTAAAGAGAGCGCCTCCTCTGTAGCAGTGGTCAGACGTCGTTCTGAGGTTTGGGAGGGAGCGCCGAGTGCGGAGCCGCCCTCCTGCTGACACTGATGTCACGATGAGACCAGCTTTTACTTCCTGAACTGAGCAATGGGAGACGGGACTTTGATGTCCTGTCCTTTCTCCAGCTTCTTCTCACACTCAATCAGGTAGTTGACCCCATCGATCAGCAGCTGGACCAGCTCCACCTGAAGACAGACACACCACAGGTTATTTCTGCAACAGATATCAGCTTCTTATGAGTCTGAGATGTTGTAAACTTTGATGGCTGACGGCTTCCAGTGTGCCCCACAGTATGCACTGAGGCAATATAACTGTCTGATGCTCACCTCAGATTTACCCAGACGGTCATTGTTGGAAATGTCGAAGGTGTCTCCAGTAGCAGCCGTGTCCACGCCACCTGTGCCTCTTTTCTGCAGCCGCAGGTTGTCGAGGATTTTGGAGAAGCGTGGGTCCTGCAGAGTGATTTCAATCATGTGGAACGTGTTGTAACTCACAGTAAAATCTCACTGACATCCAAGAGCACATATGCAGAAAGTAATATCGACTGATGCTGTGAAGTATTTGGGCAAAAGATGAGATTTAAAGTTTAATCTTGACCTTGCAAACACACAAACATCCTGAGGAGATGGACAATAAAGGGTATTCTGTATTTTATCTGTGTCAAAAAACTCTTGAAAAGAGTCTGTCTCTCAATACTGTCTGACTTCCTGTCTGTGGCTCTCAGCTCGGAGCCGATTGGTTCCTACTGAAGACGTTAATCTTTAAAAACACAGTTTAATTTAAAATAAAAAGTCTCAGTACTTTTCTTAAATAGCTGGTCACTGTAGTTTTCAATCAAACAAACTGCTGTGTTGTATCTGTTATAGTGAGTGTGTGTGTGTGTGTGTTACCTGGCTGAGTTTTGGCAGGCGCACGTGCACGCCCGCCCGCAGGCCGGTGCCCAGGTTGGAGGGACATGTGAGGATGTAGCCCAGACGCTCGTTCCACATGAACTCCCAGCCTCTCTCCTGGATCAGCTGCTCCACCTGCAGGACAGCCAGCAGTAATTTGAATTTCTCAGATGAACTAAAATTACTAACTCCGCCCACCAGTCCAGTGTCTCTGACAGTCTCCATCCATGTCAGTGAAAACATGGATGCTTCACACACAGAAGATCTATACAATCAGCACAGTTTCAAGATTAGAGTCACCAATTCAGTATCTGACCAAATGTCTCCCCTTCTGTTCCTGAGATATGACGCTGAGTAATGGACAAAAAAACATTTTACGTTTCACGTAAATATTTTGAATTTTCGACCACTAAAATGTTTAGATTTTTCATCAACTAAAACATTTAGAACTTTTATCAACTGAAATATTTTGAATTTTTGTCAAATTAAATAGTTTGAATTTTTGTTGACTAAAACGTCTTGAATTTTCATCCACAAATTTTTTTTTAAATTTTCATTGACAGAAATGCTTTACATTTTTTGGCGACTAAAACATTTTGAGTTTTCAGCGACTAAAACATTTTGAATTTTCGCCCATTGAAAATTTTAGAATTTTCGTCGATTAAAATGTTTTGAATTTTTGTCAACTAAAACATTTTGAAAATTATCGACTGAAATATTTTGAATTTTTGTCAAATAAAATATTTTGAATTTTCATGAACTAAAACATTTTGAATTTTCATCCATTAAATTTTTTGGAATTTTCGTCAACTAAAATGTTTTGAATTTTTGTCGATTAAAACATTTTGAATTTCCATCCACTACAATTTTTTCAATTTTCATCAACTAAAATGTTTAGATTTTTTTTCTTCCAAGAAGTTTAAAATTTTTGTCAACTAAAATGTTCTGAATTTCCATTGACAAACATATTTTGAATTTTCCTCCACTAAAGATGTTTGAGTTTTTGTCGGCTAAAACATTTTGAGTTTTCAGAGACTAAAATATTTTGAATTTTCATGAACTAAAACGTTTTGAATTTTCGTCAACTAAAATGTTTTGATTTTTTTTCTTCCAAGACGTTTTAAATTTTTGTCAACTAAAATGTTCTGAATTTTCATCGGCAAACATATTTTGAATTTTCCTTTACTAAAAAGTTTTGAGTTTTTGTCAACTAAAACATTCTGAATTTCCATCCTCTACAATTTTTTTGAATTTTAGTCAACTAAAATGTTTTGAATTTTTTCTTCCAAGATGTTTTAAATTTTTGTCAACTAAAATGTTTTGAATCTTTGTCGACAAACCTATGAAGGATAAAATGAATAAATGTGACTTGAACTAATTAGTATTTTCGTCTCAAGACTCAGACCAGATCTAAAAGTGCTGTC